CTTCTTCTTCTTTTCGACCTTTTCCAGATCCTCTTCAATCTCTTCTTCTTCCTTAAGCGTCAGGCGTCGACGGCGGCGCTCATCCTCGTCATCCGTCTCATCTTCAGCCTTGGACTTCTTTTTGGACTTTTTGGCTTTTTCAGCTGCTTCTTCCTCCTCTAACTCCTCCTCCAGCTCTTCCAGCTCCTCCTCGGCCTCCTCTTCGGCTTCCTTTTCAGCCTCTTGTTCAGCCTTCGCCTTTTTAGAAGCCTTCGATGATTTCTTGGTCGGAGTAGCGTCGTCCCGCTCTTCCTTTGTAGACGACTTAGATGCCTTTTTCTTCGAAGGGGCTTCATCCTCGTCCGTGTCTTCATCGTCGTCTTCCTCGTCTTCTTCCTCCTCCTGCTCCTGAATCTTTTCCAGATCTTCATCCATTTTTTCCTCGACTTCAGCTTCCTCCTCTTCCTTCTCAGCCTCGAGCTTTTCCGCTAAGCCTTCGTCAACTTCATCATCGTTGCTGTTCTCCAGTCCCTCTTCGATCTCCTCAGTAGCTTCTGCCATCTTTTCCTTGGCCACCTTCTCTCTTTTCCGGACTTTTTTCAAGTCTTCCTCAATTTCTTCTTCTTCCTTAAGTGACAAACGTCGACGAGTGCGAACCTTGCAGCCAGACGTAGAAGGAGTGAGCTGGGACGTCGAACCGGCAGTCGAAGCCGAGGTGTCCACATCAGTAGCTGCAGGTGTCACCGCAGGGGTGTCCACCGATGTGTCGCTGGAGCTGGCGGTTGTCGGCGAACCAGAGCTCGAGCTTGAAGACAGCAACGTATCATCAGTCAAGGAAGACCCAGTGGAAGCACCACCATCAGAACCAGAGGTAGCAGCAGGAGTCACAGCAGGAGCGTCCGTCGTCTCCGATTGCGTCACCGACGAATCACTGGAGCTCTCTGTCGTCGTTGAACCGGAGATCAGCGTATCACCAGGTGACGAGGCACCACCGTCGGAACCAGAAGTAGCAGCGGGGGTCACAGCAGGAGCGTCCGTAGTCTCTGACAAATCGCTCGAACCCTCAGTAGTCGGCGTTCCGGAGCTGGAGCTTTCAGTAGTGGGGGATCCGCTGCTAGGCGCAGCCGGAGTCGTGCTCGAACTAGAAGCAAGCGATGAACTGGCACCTGATGTCTCAGGCGACCCAGCACCGGATGACTGTGTAGCCGACGAACCCGCTGTAGATGAAGCAAGCGAAGTATCCTGTGTAGGCGAACCAGACGATGTCGTGCTGTCGGTAAAATTGCTACCCGTACCGCCGTTCAGAACGTCGTTAATGTAATCCATGACGAACGTCAGACGAGTGTACACGCCAGCGTGAACACCGCATTTGCCACCCCAACTAACGAACCCAATCAGTGTATCGTCACTAGTAACCAGCGGCCCACCTGAGTCTCCGTTGCACGAGTCCTTGCCGCCGCCATTTCCAGCGCACATCATCCCTTCCGTGATACGGTTGTTGTACTGCTTGTTGCATTCGGCGTTGGAGATCACCGCCACGTTCACCTCCTGAAGCGTGTTGCTCTTTGTTCCGTCCTCGGTCATCCCCCATCCCAGAACAGTTGCCTCCGTGCCGACCGAATTGTCCGAGCCGTCGGCGGCACACACTTTCGCCGTCTTCTGCGTGGAAGCCTCCTCGAGCTTCAGAAGACCTACGTCGTACAAGTGCTTCTTCTGGTTGTACATAGGGTGTCGGTAACCTTCAACCACCTTGATCGCCTCGCCCGTCTTGGATCCTGTACCGAACTCCGTACCGAGGTGGGCAATGATGGTGTCCTCCTCCGTCTTGATACAGTGACCGGCAGTCAGAATGTATTGAGGGGCGATCAGTGTACCGCCACAGAAAGTTTCGTCCTGCAGTTCGAATCGGAGACTCGCGATGAATGGGTAATCGTCGATGTTAGCCTCGGAGCCGCCGTAGATTCGGCTCTCCTGGTTGACGGTGAGCCCTGTGCTCTGAACGGAGTTGGGCGCAGGGGCGGGGGCTTGATTCTCCGAAAACGTGTACGCATGAGCTACAGCCGAGGCCGTCGACGCGAACGCGAGGGCCTGCGCAACCTTCATGTCGGTCTCACTTAACTCTTGCCACGAACTGAGTTAGAGAAAGCCAAAGTGACAGCATTGCAGGAGGGTTATGCGTGGACGCTCTACCACCGCATCTCGATGTGCTATCCTCTGTAGTCAGCTTGCATGGTACGGTAGTGGCACCGACCAATTGTGGTGATAGCCTCTGGACGCAACATAATTCGTGAAATGTGGCGTAAAGGGACAGCAAGATGGGGTCAGCAGCCAGTTGTGCCACCATCTGACACTACCCAGCCAAGTACTCGGAAAACAGCGGTTGTTCGTCGCGTAGCAGACGTAGGCGAAAGAAGGGCCTATGCTGTTCGAACGGGATGTGAATCATTTTGGCTCATGGAAGTGAACTGCAACGTACTGGGAGTGCGGGGCAGTCAACACAACAATGCAAACGCTTTGACTATTAATATTGGTGAGCAAAGTTGCCCACCACATCTCTTGACCCACAATCACTCGGCCGAAACTATGATGACATGTATATAACGACCGCAAAAATCAAACCACACAAATCTCCTTCCTCACTTTCTGCTCTGGATAAAGCTCACTTCGATCAAAACAGGGAGTCGCAGTCCTTCTTGCCGCTTTGGGTATCACCCGAGACGGACGTTGGCGCTTCGGTCGTGTTGAGCTCGCTCTGCTGTGCAGGGTTGGAACTCGATTCGGTTTGCTCCTCCGAGTCGGTCGACGGTGCGTACTGGTCCTCCGAATCGGTCGTCGGGCTTTCTGTTTGAGGAGCCACAGTGGCCGGAGCTTCCGTGGCAGGCGATACTGTTGTCGGCGCTGGAGTCGGAGCTTCAGTGGCAGGTGCCTTGGTAGCAGGCAACACAGTCTGAGTCTCAGTGGAAGGAGCTTCCGTCGTATCCGTTGAAGTAGATGGGGATTTGCCTTCGCTAGTCGATCCTGCAACACTCTCTGTGAAGCCGCTGCCGGTGCCACCATTCACGATGTCGTTGATGTAGTCCAGCATGTAGGAGACTCGAGTGTACACTCCCGCGTTCGCTCCGCACTTGCCTCCCCAGCTCACGATTCCAATAAGCACATCGTTCTCAATCAACGGACCTCCCGAGTCTCCGTTGCAAGTGTCTTTGCCGTCACCTTCACCCGCACACAGCATACCTTCTGTGATGCGGTCGCTGTACTCCTTGTTACATTCGGCATTCGAGATGATCTTTACATTTACCTCCTCCAGCACGAGACTCTGCGATCCGTTCTCAGTGAGACCCCATCCTCGAACGGTAGCAACACTGCCGACCTCGTTGTCTGATCCGTCACCAGCACACAGATCGATAGGGTCTGTGGACACTTCTTTTTCAAGCTTGAGCACTCCGACATCGTACAAGTGCTCAGACTTGTTGTACATGGGGTGACGGTATCCCTCGATCACCTTGACTTGCTCTCCGTCTCCTGATCCCGATCCGAACGCCGATCCGATTGAAGCGTAGATCGTGTTTTCATCCGTCTTCACGCAGTGAGCAGCGGTCACAACGTACTGTGAAGCAATAAGCGTACCACCGCAGAAAGTGCTGTCATCAGCTTCGTCCTTGCGCAGGCTGACAATGTACGGGTATTTGGATGCATCCGCCTCGGATCCACCGTAGATGCGGTCCTCCTCGTTGACCGTCAGACCGGTGCTTTCCTCCACAGCCGAGTCCGCAGTCAATTCACTGGTCTCAGAGAACGTGTACCCTTGTGTAAGGGTAGCTGCTAGCGCGGAGGCCAGAATACCGGCGCGAACGATAGCGGCGAGTTTCATTTTCAACTGTCTGTAAGTCGCTGCTAGCGAAATCCGAAATGGTGAAATGGAGTGAACGCTGTTCCACAAAGGAGTCGCCGTTACTGTGGCATCTGAATCGAGGAATAGAAGGAGACAGTGTCGAGTGATTGCCACCACACTGAACAGGTTTTTCTTGCCGCCCAGCAGCTTGTCATGTCAGAGCATCAGACAAGTAGGAAGACCACAGCTGGCTACGACTTGAACCGATACCACCTTTGCATCGAGCTGCCTGAATACTTGGTACCAAACGTTTTTACCCCAACTCGGTCATGAAGTCGTCAGTCGCAGATAACGTCGACAACAGCACCGCAGTGAAAAGGTGTTGCTAGATCAGTTAGACTCGTACATAGCTCTCGATCCTAGAGGCCCGCTAGTAGAGGGTGTACGCCAACACAGCTGCCAGGTTCCGTAGTAGCAGGCGTCGGAGTTTTTTTCATCACGTGAGCAAAGCGAGCATCCATTCCATTAATGGTCAAGTCGTTGCGCTGCCTTCATTATTGCAGGAGGTGTCAACACGTAGATGAGCTTGGAGTGTACCAATACCATGGTACAAATTTATTGGGTAATTATCTTGGCATTTGAGGCTGTCAATCAGCACGACACCTTACACCATGCTGCTCCGCTGTGTGCGTCCCCTGCGCGCGGCGCCTAAAGGCGCCGCCTCCCGCCGATCCTCGCTGTTCTGGCGCAGTTTTGCGTCCGCATCCTCTAATTCGCTCGAAGCCTGCGTGCGGGAGCGCCAGCTGCCACCCTTCGAGCGGCTGCAGCTGGATGAGATCGAGCCGGCGATCACCAACGCCGCTGCCGACTACACGCGTGATCTGCACGAGCTGGAGAAGAAGCTTCGTGATGCCGGTGAGAATGTCCAATTCGGAGATGTGGTAGACCCGCTGGAAGTGCAGGGTGACGCGTTGGGCCGCATGTGGGGCATCGTGGGCCACCTCATGAGTGTACGCAATTCGGAGGAACTTCGCGCCGTGCACGACAAGCTGCAGCAGCTGGTGATCAAGACGGTCACTGAAGCCTCACAGAGCAAGACGCTCTACGACGCGTATCTCGCGGTGCGCGAGAGCGACGAGTGGAGCAAGCTCGAGCTGGCACAGCAGCGGATCATCGAGCTCAGTCTCCGCAGCGCAACGCTCAGTGGCGTCGGACTGGAGGGTGAGGAGAAGGAGAAGTTCAATCGGCTCAAGCTACGTGCTGCCGAATTGGTAGGAAGGCGAACTATAGTGATGATTGCAGCCTGCAAGCGGTGAATTCTGACTTTCGTTTGCTGTGACTACAGAGCACTAAGTTCTCGTCGAATCTGCTCGATGCCACCAAGGCGTATTCTATCACGATCACCGATAAGAACGAGATGGAGGGTCTACCTCCCTCGTTGCTGCAGATGTTTGCACAGAGCGCTCGTGACGAGGGCCATTCGGATGCCTCACCTGAGAATGGACCGTGGCGTATTACGCTGGACCCGCCGTCCTACGTGCAGTTCATGAAGTACTCAGCTAATCGATCACTTCGCGAGACGCTCTATCGGGCATACGCAACTCGTGCCAGTGGCGAGGCTTTCGATAATGAAGGCATCATTTTGGAGCTGCTCGAGATCCGCCAGCAGATTGCCAACCTGCTTGGCTTCAACTCGTATGCTGAGGTGAGTATCTCGAAGAAAATGGCGCCAAGTGTGGCAGAAGTTGAAAAAATGCACAGCGACCTTCGTGAAAAGTGCATCGCGATCGCCCACGAGGAAGTGAAGACTGTGGCGGAGTATGCAGAACAGCACGGACAATCGGAGCCCCTGGCTCCCTGGGATCTCGGCTACTGGTACGCTCGAGGTGAGTTATAGTGCCATTTTGCTTTATCTGACTGTCATCGTTGCGCATAATTTTCACAGGTCTGAGAAGCTTAAGGCCGAGAAGTATTTGTTCACTGATGAAGAGATCAAGCCATTCTTCCCGCTCGAACGCGTAAGTATCTACCTTGATTTACTATCCTGCATCGCGGATAGCTCATATTTGATTACTATTGCTGTTGTACAGGTGCTCGACGGACTGTTCTCGCTCACCTCGCGGTTGTTTGGCGTGACTATCGAAGCTGCCGACGGCCAGGCCGAGGTCTGGAACCCCGATGTGCGCTTCTTCAACGTGCGCAGTACCGAAGGCGATAAGGAGGTCATCGCTCGCTTCTTCCTGGATCCATACTCGCGTCCAAAGGAGAAGAATGGAGGCGCTTGGATGAACACGTGCGTGGACCGTAGCCGCCTACTTGGCCCCAAGGAGCAGGATGGCAAGCGCATTCCGGTGGCCTACATCATCTGCAATCAGTCGCCACCCGTGGGCGAGACGCCGAGCCTCATGACGTTCCGCGAGGTGGAGACGCTCTTCCACGAGTTCGGCCACGGTCTGCAGCACATGCTGACGCAAATGGAGTACGGTGACGTGGCTGGCATTAACGGCATCGAATGGGATGCCGTCGAGATCCCGTCGCAAATGATGGAAAACTTTTGCTACGATAAAGGTGCGTTCACCGCTTCATATCGGTTAGTAGATCAAAGTTATTTAACCTCGTGTTGTTATTAATGTGATAATCACAGACACGATCGCGGCGATCAGCGGGCATTACAAGACTGGCGAACCGCTGCCGGATGATCTGTTCGAGAAGCTCAAGTCTGCGCGTAACTACTTGGTAGCCACGGGCATGCTGCGTCAGCTGGGCTTCGGCGCGCTGGACATGTATCTGCACTCGCACTACTCCTCGTTGGAGGAGCCCCTGTTTGCAGTGCAGCAGCGTCTTCTGAGCGAGTACGCCGTGCTGAGTCCGCTGGAGGAGGACCGCTTCCTGTGCTCGTTCGCTCACATCTTCGCTGGAGGCTACGCTGCCGGTTATTACAGGTACGTCATTGCAACATGTTACATGTTAATACTGCCATTGTCTTAACGCGGATGCAAAAATGTTTCGCAGTTATAAGTGGGCAGAAATCTTGTCGTGCGATGCCTATGGAGCTTTTGAGGAGGCGGCGAAGGAGAGTCCCGGGGCTGCAGCACGCGTTGGTCGTAAGTTCCGCGACACGATCCTGGCTCGTGGCGGAGGCCAGCATCCAGAGCAAGTGTTTGAGGCCTTCCGCGGGCGCAAGCCGTCCATGGTGCCACTGCTCACGCAGTACGGTCTGGCCGACAACTAAGGCAAATAAACCAAGGCAACTTCAACATGAAACAAGTATCCATTACGCATAGACCGAACATCGAAAAAAAATGAGCGACCGCTGCTTGGCGAGGCGCAGGATCCGGTGGTCAGCGACGGCCGGATTGCCACCGCGTTAAACGCGAGCAGGTAGGTTCATGGTGGCATGCAAAAGCCAAGTCAATTGCCTTCGGGCGCGGCGTTATTCACCGTTTTGCGAAAAAGAACGCGCAAAGGGGCTCAGATGCCCATCACGCTGCTACAACTTCAACACCACACGGCATAAGTTTTCGCAGGTCTTTCCACAAAGAACCTGCAGGTAAAATGGGCTCGAAAACCATGCAGAGGACCATTTTCTACGATTTTCGCATTTCATTTTGCGTAATGCGTTTGATTGTGACGACAACTGGGGATTACAGGAACAACGTACTGTAGTACAACAGCAAGCGCGCAATGCGATGTTGCTACATGTGTCGATGATATTTGCCCAACTCAGCGTCGAGAAGCAGGCATCACAAAAAGGTGCTACAGCACATTATATGTACCTCACAAACGGTAGATTTACTATCTTCATCGTCATGCCACAAAAGCATAACGCCGGAATCTCGGTTGTTCACCATTTTTGGCTTTCCTAAATTCCTATGTTTCTTGCTATGGGAAATATAATAAAGATGGCACGGTCTGATCAATATTATTGAGCAGACCATGCCCCGCTGGCCACATTTCATCCAGTATCTATACAAATCGATGTTACAACAAGATAAATTTGAAGCAGCCACACCCTTCATCCCGTGAAGCATGCAGTCCCCATTACGAATTGAACATGTTGGAGTGTATGCATGCATGCGAATAGTTCAGAACTGACGTGAGCTGCACGTGCTTGTCTTGAACGATACAGCTTTGTGATTGAGAACTCGATAACACGACGCACGATCTCTCTTGTACTAGCAATAATTTTGAGCGTTGCGACCCTACCAAAAAAATGGGCCTATCGCATTTGGGCACATGGACAAGTAAGATCCGCCAGTACGTATGTTGAAGAGGGCCCAAAATATAAATTTTCGCGGGGCGACGGAAACGCGGAACACGCGCGTGCACGTGCTGCAAAATGAACCTTTCACCAGCCATCACCGCCACACGCTACTGTATCTCATTATCCAAAAAGAACCCTGAGCGTTAAGCGAGAGGAGATCTATCACCGCTGCGCACTACCAACCCAAGACCAGCGCACCGGAACACCAGCTCCTACAAGTAAGCAAGCGACTGTCCCATCAAAGCCGCACCCATCTCATTCTTCACACAACTTCAACACGAACATGTTGACCTTCCTGTCGTCCTCACTGCCGTCCCCCACGGTGCCGGCCACGTCGTCACGCCCGCAGCACCTCAACTCGTTCGTGGTGCTGACCAAGAAATCGTCGAGCCGCCGCCTCTCGCGCCGCCGATACAGTATCGCCAGCTCGTGTTCCACAACAAGTAACAGCAGCGACGACGAGTCGGACACCTCGGATCTCGAGCCTGAAGACTGCTGCGTCGTATACGAGTCGTACGCCGCCGTGACTAAGCGCAACAGCCAGCCGGCTTCCATCCGTTGGAGCGACTTACAACGCGCACAGAACACAACTGAGGTCGCGGAGCTACTGGCTGCGTTGCGCCTCAAGCGTCGTCACACACGCGATGGAGAGGCACTCGAGCTGACAGCGCTCGAGCTCTGCTTCGAGTTCCTCACGATGGAGGAGCTACAGAGCGCCGCGCAGGTCTGCACGGCCTTCCACGATGCCGTCACGGCCTCGGAAATGCTGCTCACCGGTCTGTACAGCCGTCAGTGGCGTGCCAAAATGCTACCGGAGACGTACGTGACGCTGCCCTACAATGACCAACTGGTGTTGTGCGCTGCGCGTCGCTCAGACGCGATCTATGAGCTGTCGACGCGCAGCGCAGTCACCCACTTGCCCGACGGCAAAGACCGTGTAGTGAACAACTCGATGCTTCGTAACTTTGACAAGGGTGCCGTGGACTCGATCCGCGGCGTCCACAAGCTGCCCGTGCTGTCCTGTGCCCGCGCTCTTAAAAAGAACATCTCATACTACGAGGTGAGCCTTAAAGGAAGCGGAAGCGTGGGTCTCGCGTCCGTCTCCGACGCGACGACCCGGAACGCGTACGGCTTCGGCTCTGGAGAGCACGTGGGCTGGAAGGGCGTGTCCTACGCCTACCACGGCAATGACGGTGACTTCGTGTTCAACGATGGCACCAAGCCGTACGGGGGCGAGTGGGGCGCTTTCGGTCCATCGTGGGGCCGAGCCTCGCCCCCGTCTAACAACGAGGAGGACGACGTTCCCATGTTCACGGTGGGCTGCGGCCTGGACGCCGACAAGCAACAGGTTTTCTTCACTCTCAATGGAGAGATGGTTGGAATCGCGCCCACTATGGTGCTGCCTGGAGACTACGCTGCTGCTGTGTCGCTCCACGCCTTTGGCGATGAAGCTGGGATCAATGTTGGCGCGGCTCCTTTCCTCTTTGACATCGAGGGTTTCTGTGCAAGTCCTTAGCTTAATCCAACTGGATTGAGTTGAGGGCTTGCACAGAGGAGTTCAAAGACCCCCCACGTCGATCATCTTGCCGCCGTCAGTCGGCCGCTTGCGTCATTTTCTTCTTACATGTTTCCATGTGATCCCATTTATTCATGCTCGTGCATCGGTGTTAAGGTCCGAGCCGCATCCACTGGACAACTGACCCGAGAAATTAATTTCAAGTATATCGTGATTAATATTCATCGTAGTTTGTTGCACTTTTGGTCTATCTCGTCACTAGCTTGATACCAAGTTGTAGTTCTCATTGTAGCGTTGCCTTGCTACTGGTTACCGAAGATTTTGGAGAAGCTGATTCGGGATGCATATCGACACCCTTGTCGTCGATAGCTGCACGTTTTAGCTCGTCTTCCTTCGAGTTGGGTTGTGCACTATCTCCGCTTGTCACTGTTGCCACTGCGGTAGGATCTTGGACGTCGGTGTTGCTCAGAATTTTGTTTTCAACTGCCGAAGTTGTGTTTTGAGTGCTCGATGATTCATTAACCTCCACTGGCTTCACCGGCGATTCACCGTCGCTGTCGAAACTAGCTTGACGATGATCTCGTGCAACCGGGGATGGCATGGGTGAGCTGAAGCGTAAGAACACTTTCATCGCCGACGAAGTCACGAGAGAAGGCCTAGTGTCACTCAAAACTTGTGTCGAGATACGGCGTGCCGTCCGGTTCATCTTCTTGGAAGCCTCAGCGATGGCGTCGTCAATGAGCCGCATCCACTCGGCCTTGGAGGTCGCACTATCAGCGAACACGACGAAGGACTTGACCGGGTTTTGAATCTGGAAAGCGTTTTTCAACAAAACACCGTCGGCAATGGTTGAAATACGCGTGAGCTTGAGACGCAGAGAGTTGTGTGGACTCCACTTCCCGGTCATGCTCTTGTCAGCATACAAGAGTTGGTCATTGAAGAGAAAGAAGCGGTAGAGCTGGTTACGCGACCGACACTTCTTCGTTAGGTCTCCCTCGTGGATGAAAGTGGTGGAGTTCTTGAGGTAAAAATGAGCACGATGAATGCGCTGAATAACCGAGTCGAGCTTCTCCGATTTCTGACGGACTTGAATCGTTTCCTTCATATCGTTAACGAGCAGATGAATGTCACCCATGGCTTTCCAAGGATCGTCGCTACCAGCAGCGGCTTCGATGGTTCGAGCCCACTCATACTTTGTGTCTTGCGGGATAGCTTTGGTCGCTTTGTCAGCCAGCTCTTCCTCGCTGTTCTCTTGCGGTGTACCATCTAACGAGTCCTGTACCTTCCTTAGTAAGCTGCAGAATGCCTGACGCTCCACCGGCATGTTTAAGAACAAGCACGTCGAGATGCAAAAGCGCAGTAAGTCGAGACACTGCATTCTAGTAGACAGATCCGACTGGCTGTCACACAAAATAGTCGTCGATAGAGTGAGCAGGGAAAACCACACACGCTCGAACAGAATTTTGATCAAATCTGGGCTGATAGCCGTATCCACACCGACAAACTGGAAGGTGTTGTATGTGTGCGAGAGATCCTTCATCAGTTCCTCGGATTGAGCCACAGCCTTGGCAATACCACCACGGAACTTTTCATTCTCCAGATCAGCAGCAGAGACACTGGCTTCACGAGAGGCTTTCGGGATGACACGACTACCTTTGATATGCATTGGGTTGTGTGCAATATCATCGTAAATCTCTTCTAGAAAACGCTTGGGCAAGTCGTTCCCGTTGTCGATACCGCGGTTGTTCTTGACGAACTGCTCCTTTGACATTTTGTTCTTCTTTACCTGCGGGTTGTGCAAATCTGTGTTCAGCATAATGATCGAATATGCGATGATCATTGCCGTATCAGCAGAGGAGAATGCTGTACGTGAGTCGTCCCAATAACACTGCGCGAAAGCTTCAACCATGCGCTCGATCTTTTGTGCTTCTCCTGGAAGACGAAATCCTCCGTTCGTCAGAAAATGTCGTAGAGATTCGACGAGTGTCATCCCTTTAAAGGAGATCGCTCGGACGTATGTTAGCCGAACTTGAACTTTAAAGTCTTCGTCTCCCTCTCCTAGATAGTCTCCGATTTCTGTCTCATCGAAAAAGTCGTGGTATATCCGTAAGAAGGAGGTGATACTTCGTGGTGTGTCCTTGATGAAATTCATAGCCACCAAGTATTCGAGAGCTTTTTTCAAGCTTTTTGACGATGAAATCTCCATCGCACGCTTCAATAGTTGCTGGTTATGCTTTTGCAGCTCGTTTCGCATCCGAACCGAGATATTGCCACCATACTTGCGATTTGCTTGACGCTTCTGCTCCGCCGGAGAGCCTGGTTGACTTGCAACATCACCACTTGGTAGCATACCGAACGCATCTTTCATTGGAGATACTTCTTCGCCCGATTCGTCTTGTTCCCAGCCTCCAGTATACATCGACAGCATTCGAGTGCGGCGGTCCCGACTGATAAGGTGAGCATGACCACTAGCGTCCATAACGCTACGAGCCATCGCTAGTATGGTATTGATCGCCTGGTTTTGCAGCTCCAGACCGGAGTCGTCCCCCTCGTCACCATTCGCAAGGTGACTGACGTTACCCTCTCCTATTGAGCCTAACGTCGAGCACAAATGCTCAAATATCTTCCACTGCTGAATTCGATCCAGATCAAAGTTGAGAAATATTTCCACGACATTGTGAGGGAGTTGCAACCAATTGGTCATCTCATGCATGATTTCCAGCTGGTGATCCTTCGTACAAGGTGCGGTGGCTCGTAGAATGCGAAGAAAAACATGCTCAAACATCAACGCCAATTCCACCTTAAGATATCGTCGATAATGATTCCACAGCGTTGTCACCAGCGTGAGAATTGCTCGGAATACATTCGGCGCCCAAGTGAGCACAGTGGCGTTTAGTGTCGAAAGCACAAACCTTCGAACCACTTGACCAAACACTCGTTGTTCACGCGTGCGTGTCCCGGCTGCCAGAAGTGTCTGGTTGAGCACACGTAGAGAAGTCACACTTGAACACTGATCACTTTCTGTTGCTGTCTCACTGAGACTGACAAACTTGCGGTTAATAGCTTTGCTGAACGTCACCACTAGCTGAAGGGCATTTTTCTCGGCCTAGCCAATTCAAACATGTTAGGAGATTCGAGTGCTGAAAGTAATGGTTGATAGACGCACCGCGGAGTTTGCGAAGTTAGTCATGGCTGCTGAGATATCTTGGCTGAACGATGGTGACTGAATGGATAAGTGGCTCTGCGAAATCGAGATAAAGATTAACTCAAGTGTCGGCAAACATGTTGGAAAAACACACAGTACGCGTCACCTTGAACACGCCCAACATATTGTCGGTAGCGGTTGCAATTTCAGCGCCTGTACTAATATCGTCAATAAGGTCCACGACTAACGCGTGAGCAAGCGCAGTCGACGATTGGTCGACTTTCGCGTCATTCTTCTTGACGATCGTAGTGGTCAAAGTGGCTTCGTAAGCGACCATGATCTTAGAGATCAATTCGTCCTCAATAGATTTGGTTAAGGGGCCGTCGAAATCTCCGATGAATATTAAAGCCTTCAATATCGCATGAAGCACGAAAGGGTCAAACCCGTCCGTGCTCATTCGGATAACCTTGACAAACGATTGAGCTTGGGTTAGCCTGGTAGAAATATCATTTCAACTTTAACACACGGATACCTTTTGGAAGAATTTGAGCGCGGGTTCAAACCGAGATTTGACCCCCTGCTGACAGATCGATAAGACGGCATCGATTACCACTTCAAGTCGGCAAAGTTCAGACCCGGGACAGTCGAATACTCCTTCCTCAAGACAGTGAGTGAGTCCTTCCACGGCAGCTTCTGCAGCTTTTCCTTGACGAGTGTGGCACGCCAATAGCAACGGATACATGTAATACTCGATCGTCTCTTTCCAGCCAATTTGCTTTGCTGATAAATTACACAAAAAGGTTAATGACTTGCTCTTGTATGTATTGTAAAAACCACCTTACGCTTTGATCGCGGCGAGTCAGGTGAAGTATCTGCTGTTGGCGAGTTAGGAGCACTTATCAGCTTCTGTTCTCTCACTTCTGTTGCTTTTAGAGCAAACGCAGACTTGAGGTGTCTCAATTTGCGGGGTGTAGATGGAGTTAGGGGTGGTGACCGTGCTCGCTCGAGGACTTGAGGAGGAGTAACAGTGGCAAATAACCACATTTTGTGGAGGTCACTAATACTAGCCACCTAGGGAATTAGAGGAGGGTTTATGAGACCGACTCATCAAGCAACAACAATGGAGAAGATGGGGTAACTGTACCTTCTTCTTGTAGGCGAGGAACACTTCCGTGCCACCAGAATTCGAATTGAGGTCAGCAACGTGTCCAAGGGGAGTTTTGTCCACTTTCATGTATCTGAGAACACAGTCGTATTTATTAGCTACAGCACCATCATTTGGTACATCTTACCCGTAAGGAAGAGTGTCATTTTTCTTTGGATATATCACAGCCAAATCGACAATCGCAGAGGCGGTAGAACGCTTGAAGCAGAGGTAGATTTTCTCTCCTTGTGTTCCCTATCGAAATGTAGTACAAGGTTGGAGTTTGAACAATGTTATTGTTCATCCACCATTCTTACCGAATTGACATTCGCCGGGACGCCGCGCCTTCGTACCACCTCATAATCGGTAGGAACGATCTCTCCTCGCTCTGGAAAAATAACAATCATCTCGCTAATTGGAGCTTTCCCAGAGGACTGATCTTTGCTGTGGCACAGATAAATAGCAGACCCTCTTCCTCCTTTATTCAGATCTGCTCGTTGACCACTTGGAGATCGCTCCAACTGCGCAATTCATTGCGCATGTTAGTTCAATAATGTACGTGTTACACAGCAACAGACTGTCCTTTAACGTACCTTGGTAAAACCTTCTGGAACGGAATCTCCTCTAAAATTCACCGTGATGTCCGTGATGGGACCTTCATTCCCGTCAATGATCTTCCATCGTGGCGACTCACCTGCAGGGATACTGGACAAACAGTTAATTAGTGTCAACTTCCAAAGCACAGCAAATGACTTCAAACTTTTACCTGTCGTAGCTCGGGCGTCGATTCAGTTTTGGTTTACTTATCGTCCTCGGGAGGCTTTTCGGTGGCGAAAAAGCTTTCCAATTTACCACTTCGCTACCATCACGAATGACGCTGGTATTCTCCTTTGCGCGCTTCTGACGGTGAGCTATACTCTTTGCAGCAGTCACTTGGTCCCTTTTGGATAAAGTCTCTTGGCAGATTTCTCGGATGCACGCCAGGTCGCCATCATCCCCTGTCGTCTCGTCCAAGATGGAATTAATCCCGCTACGTAGCGCCGCCTCATGGAGCATTTCTACGGGTGGTTCTATGGCCACTCTTGCATCACCACTCGCCTCTTCGGCGTCGACTTCTTGAGGATCGTCGTTCACAGGAGTCACCTCCATCGTCAAGCCAAACACTGACTGCTGACTCTCGCTCACGACGTCCGCCATGATGCTGATGCTTAGTTTTGTCACCTCCATGTCCTTCCCAAGGGCTAAAAACTCATTCAACCCCCACTGTCACCTATGCCGCTATATATACCCGCAAACTTCCGCCACTCCGTCTCGTCGGCGTCATCGCGTTCCGTTTCGCAGTTGAGGATAAACAAGTTTTGCCATAGTGAATTTGCTGTTTGATACTTGAAGTACTAACTAATTTGCACAGAAAAGTTCAAATCTCCGAGAATGATGGTCGTGGAAGTTGAAGTTATTTTGCCCGAAGGTTTCAGGAGGCATCCAACGATGGAAGGAGGCGGCTCTTCCGTGACTGCTGAGAGCCGCGCACGAGAGTTGCGGCGGCGTGTAGCCAATCGCCGTCGCACCGGTGCCGACGTCTTGAGCTCCACGTTGACTGCAAATACGCTGAGTCTTCCACAACTCTGCTACTCGAAGCATGAAGCACACGAAATCCGAATGGAGTTGATCGATGCGCAATCACAGCATAATGCAGCGTTGAAATACTGCGACCAGCAGTTCGTTGTGGAGAAGAACGTTCGGTAAAGATAAATTGATGGCTATTATCATAAACACCTTTTCACTCTTTATTCGTTGATTCACAGACAACTGCGTAAAGGTATCGGGGAAACTCAATTGCAGATCCGACAGAAAACAGAAGAACTTGATGAACTTCAACGGCGAGTGTTGAGACTATCGAAGACGCTGCATGATTCGTCAGATGAAAAAAACTTTGCCAAAACGAAGCTTGGTAACCAAGAAGAGATCAGAAAGCAACAGCTTCACGCTAAGCCGTGTCGACATTGTGGGAGACAATATCTGCCCGGGATTCTTAAAGCACACGAGGATAATTGTATGGGGTCATCACTTCCGGAATTACAATCAATGAACCAAACCAGCAACAGTCAAAGTAAACGTGCGCAGTCTCTTCCGCTGATTCAAACACCAGAAGCACCGTTAATTTCGAGGTTTGTATCACAACCGCCGCGCAACCTTCGTGTTAATTTAAAGGATATTGTGCACAATGCCTTGACAATTATGTGGGATCCGCCTATTTTTACTGGATCGAATGCCATTCTTGACTACGAACTGAGCTACTCGGTCATCCATTCGAAGTCAAAGCAGCAAAGGCATTTTGAACTTCAACCACCCTTGCGATTGTCCCAGTGGTGTTTGATAAATCCGGTTCCAGGAAATCAATATCGATTGGCAAACTTATCAGCGGATCAAGAGTACGGGGAATTTGCACTCTGTGCAATTACTGCCGCTGGCAAAAGTGAACCAAGCAACAAAGTGGAAATAATTCGGACAGAACCTGCTGCCCCTCCAACGATTCCATTGTTTTTATGCGTCGGAATTGTTACCGCAACAAGCATTACACTCACGTGGACGGAACCGTTCGATGACGGTGGAAAACCTATTCAGGACTACGAAGTCATTTTTTCCGAAGCTGTTATCAAGTTGGATAATGTCGATGACAGAGGGAAATCCTGGCTTAATGTATCGGATATCGAGTACAGGCCTCGTCGAATAAGGACGAACTCCACGGGAACTTTTTTGACAATTACAAATCTATTGAGTGGGGGAGAGCATCTAAATTTTCAAGTTCGAGCTGTGAATTCCGAAGGTATGCAGGGTGACTACTGTGAGGCTATCAAATCTATCTTCACTATAGGTAAGAAACCTACCACATTCAATTCTTCTCCCCAGTAAACTAATTTTTATGTTGAATAGCTCCGGGTAACGAGTTCAAGCTTCTCGATGAGTTGCAAGCTGCAGTGAATTCCCGTTCACGTACTGTGGATTCGCAGTTTTTAAGCGGTTTTATGCAGCGTTATGAAAGGCGCCATTATATCGAACAGGTGTCGCGGTTTATCCTCTCAATGCACCCAGAGCTGGAGGAAAAAGTAAACGCTATAGTTAATCGAGCAGACGCTATTAAGAGTGGAAGTGAAGAAGAGAACGATCAGGAACAGCAACCTCAACCCATTCAGCAAGCTAGAATTCAGAAGAAATTTGACGACCTCACAGATGAGGAAAAAATACCTGAGCGTCGACGGCAATTTCACTTTCGAATTGCAGCGATTCGAGACGATCTTAAAAAAGCCGATTACAATGTCCAGTGGTGCAAGGATCGTCAGATTGATCTAGTGGCACTCATTCGATCGGCCGAATCGCGTATTCTCGACAAACAAGCGGAGTTGGAACGTGCTCGAACGTTCAAGGGTCCTCAAATGGACTCGGATGTCTTCGAGAATGGGCTCCAACGGTTCTTTACTAAGGAACTGGTTGTAGCACTGGAGGATGAAATCGAGATCGACCAACTTTACATCTTGGATACAAAATCTGAGATCGTACAAGTGGAAAATTACTTACGTGCTGACATTAAACGTCGTGATACGTTGCTCAAGAGATTGAAAGACAGGCAAGAAGCACTTGAAATGTTTGAAAGCAATCCCGAACACTCAGAGGAATCGAATAGCACCTTGGCTACCTTAGCAAAACTACGTGGTGGTCTGCTTTACCGAGCATTTGCTGCCTTTGTCGCCAACCGGAAGGAGGCTCACGAAATAAGAAGAAAGCTTCGTACAGCAATCAACCGCCTCGTTAATCACCGATGCGAGAGTGCTTTCCATCGATGGAGAGAAATCGCAAAAATTATGACACGTAACTGTGCGGGGGTTGATGTAATATTTGGAATTGGTAGTATTGGTCTACTGAACGCTGCGCTGGGTCGTGATGATCTTATGATTGAAACTCAAAAACTGCTTCACGATCTTCGATCAACAAAAAATTCTCTACAGGAAATTCGTTGGACGACCGAACAACAATTGGCATCTAAGACCGAGAGCCCAGCGTTGGAGTCCACCCTGGATCTGGAACGAAATCGACAGCAAAACAAGAAATATTTTCCCTTTCTATTAGAGGGCGACTCAAAGATGAGTTTGCAAGACTATGAAAGCGCGCTGCGGTTATACAATTTTGTGCTTGGCAACGACCTGTGGATGCAGCAGATGAGCGAGGTGCAACGAGTCCAGCTTCAGCTAAAGATCGGAGAAGCTACGTTTCGTCTAGAGAACTACGAGCAGGCATTGACAATATTTAATCGAGCATCCATTATGGCAAACTGGGCTGGTTTACAATACGAAGAGGGGTCTGCATTGCTTCATCTAGCGGATACACAACATGTACTACGATCGCTTCGAATAAGTATCGAAAACTATGAGCGTGCTTTACTACTGTTCGAAGCTGTCAGAGACACGAAGGGTGAATCGTCATGCTACCGTGGTTTGCAGCACGTGTACGAAAGGCTTGAAGATCGAGAAATGGTTGAAATTAACAGAAATCATGCGGACGATATCGAATTTGTCCTAAAGAAAAAATTATCATCTGTAGGCCAGAAGATAACCAAACTTCAGCAACGATTAGTGGGGGCAGGCGTTGAAGCCTCATGCCAAATTACATTTGAGCGAGTTAGTCCTATTGTTCCTAGATTAAGAAGGGAGAGAATTCAACGCAAGTTTGATATTCGAGAGGAAGCTAAACTCGTCGAGAGTCTAGAAAAATTAGTGTCTGAGAAGAAAGCAATACTAGCCAAAGGAGAAGATGATCTGAAACGGGCACTCGCTTGCGATTCAACCCAAGTGGATTCAACAATCATCAATGGCTCGAATGCTCGCTACGATCTCGACGATTTCAAGCAGAAACTGGCTAAACTTATGGGAAGCGTGAAAGCTGGTCAAGAACAGATCGACAAAGACATTGCAAATGCAAAAATCCGTATCAGTAACGCTGAGGATGAGATCAAAGGCCTGGAGGAGGAATTAGCTGTCGAGACAGGGCCACTTATGCGCAAAGTATTATCCAAAGAGAAACTTCGATGCTTCCGCTTCAACGCAACAAATGAAGCTCTGAAAAATGTGGTGGGTACGGCAAGTCACGGAATCACTACGTGCTTCGCTTCTGCAGGTGTGAATGGGTTCGTATTCGACTTCCTGTCTGGAGCTTGTTTAGCGCAGGCAGTAGGCGACCCAGAAAAGAATCATCTAGGCGAGCCTACAGGTCATCAAGCTCAAATAGTCTGCGTATACTACATTGGTCACAGGATCTACACGGGTTCCGTAGATGCTTCTTTGGGTGTTTGGGACGTCAAGAATGAGACGGTCGGTGGGTTCTCGTGCTCTTTGACTAAGATGCTCATGGACTTTGACGCCGCTGTGGTTAGTGTCGTTGCTGATACAACCTGGGTTGCCTGTGGGTGCTCTGACTGCGACGTGTTTGTATTCGATGTTGAGTCATTGGCAACCATCGCTCACATTATTTCTGCTCACGACCGCACTGTGACAACACTGTCCATACACAGTGCCAACTCGGCACTTACAACAGGAGCTGCTGATAACAAGATCAAAGTGTGGGAACTTGGCAAGGCTTCGCAGTACACCACTCGTCGCAATGTAAAGTTGCTATGCTGCCTCGAAGCAGAACGCCGTGGCGATGAATATTTCAACGGACATCTCTCTCCTGTCTCCTGTATTCGACGTGTAGCGAACGAAATTGTTAGTGGCGATACCTCAGGCCGAATTGTGATTTGGAATCTCGACTCGGACAATAAATTACTTCGGATTTGCGATGTTCACCAAGACTCCGCAGTAACTTGTCTTCAGTTTGATGCAACACGAATTGTGAGTGGGGCGAGCAATGGGCAGATCTGTGTGACTGACTTTGCCACGGGAAATCTACTCCAAACGATGCATGGGCATCAAGACAGCGTGCTTGATCTACAGTTTGATCGTACACGCTTGATCAGCATGTCATCCGATGGTAAGGTACAATTGTGGTTCTGGCAAACTCGAGATGGCATTGGGGCTGACCGGAAAAAGTACCATATCCTGGGAGCAGGGGAGACACTACGCTCGTTGTCTTTAATGTACCGCACAAGTATCCAAAAACTTCTCCAGTGGAACTCGATTCCAGACTCGACCAAGATTTATCTGGGACAAAAACTCATAGTGGAAGTCGACGCGAATGCCAGTGCTTCGGATGAATTGAAAACACTTGATCTCTCGACTTCGGTGCAATTTGGCAAGTTGTCGTACGAAAATCTCGATTTTGTTGCTTCCAACCAAACAAAAAGCAAAAATGTAGAGGCGCAGTGGGCTACACAGCGTCTCGCAATGCTCGCAAAGGAGTATTTTCCCTCATTGGATGACAAAGAACTCGATGACGCTAAAGCGAAGACAGATGAAGCTGCTGTAGAGGAAGAATCCGACTCTGATGATGACATGGCTATGGACGAGGACGATGCTGGAGAAGAGGGAGAAGATGATGAGGAATAGTGTAACGATAAAAGATCCTCAGTGTGAGTAAAGAAGAGTACATTTGGCTCCCACCAACGCAGTACAGCAAACGCTGGTTCAAAATGCAGAGGTGGAGCACGAGAATACAAGTGAGAATGATGAAAACATCTTTAAAGCTTCACTCACACCGAGTTTTCGCCAGTGTCCACGCCCCATGCAGCCTTGTCCTCGAGATATATGTTGCAGCTTCGGAAGGCTACACGTGCATTGTCGCCAGCAAAGAACTCCCATGCCGAGTAGAACCAAAAGGCGACGCACTTACGGTAGTCATTGGGCTGGCTAGACTTCTTCATCTGGAGGATAGAGCGCCACTCCTCAAGCACGAATGTCGAGAGCGTGTCCTCGAAGCGAGATAGACGCAACGGGTTGCGCACGGTGTACAACGTCGTCCAGTACTTGTTATAGCCCTCTAGTTGCTTCAGACCTTCCAAGAACTCGGGAGCTCTGAACTCCTCGATCGAGTAATCCAGCAAAAATGCGAACTTGTCACTGTACTTGGCCTCCTCCTCGTAAAACTTTTTCCACGTCTACAAAACATAAAAACAATGTCACCATCAACTTTCAAAATGTAAAAAAAGCAAGAGAATTGCTTACCACCGAGAAAAACTCCAGTGCGTCATTCGGGTCGTTCAGCTTGGTGCGGTGCAAACTGTGCGCATGACGCAGCTTGACTTTTTTCTTGCGTTCCCAGTGCCATTCCTCAACAGGCGGGAAAAGCGACATTGGAACCATCACGGACCCGTTGCCACAGATCGCAACGTAGAAAGAAATGACGTCCTCGACTCCAGCGACCTTGTCCGTCTGTCTCCTGTTCCCGTCTTCGTCCTCTTCAGTATTTTCATTCGGATCGGGCTTGACGAAATCCAATTTTGTCACAAAGTACATGTACTTGGTGGGGAACGGCTTCTGGCCGAAGAACTCGCGCAGTTGATCCCGCAGCGTCGTCATGTCCTTCACGTACAGATTCTTCACTTCCTCCGTCGTATAGAAACCGTCTAAATAGTAAACAATAATATCAGTAATTAATACAATCACCGTCAAAGCTGAAATAAATTTCAGTGACGTACTGTTGTCGGGAGATACCAATTCGTGTGTGGCGCTTGGGTCCACCATCGCCGGGAAGTTGAATCCATCTGCAACATAAAATATAAAAAATCGTCAACCTCACGGACAACTGTGACAGTAGCTACTTTAGGTGTCGAATGATAGTTGACGTACTGACACCCTCGCGGAGCACGTCCTTGTGTGTGACGCGCAGTGCGTTCTTGAGGTCGTCATAGTTGGTATTGTTGCTGCAGAATTTGTTGTATCCCACCCAGTATTGCGCGTACGTCTCGTTGAACACCAGGTGGCCCCGCTGGATGGTACTGGCGCATACGAGGCGCGACGGGTCCGTGGCACGCAGGCGATCAATGTTCTTCTTCCAGTCACGAATCTGGCCCGTCTTGACGCCGTATTTCTGCGCCGTTGCGGCGATGAGCCCCGTGCGGTCCGCCTCCTCGATAATTTCGAGCTTCTTGCCCACCGTCAGAGCTCGATCCGCCTTACCGCGCGCCATGCTGACCTCGAAGTTGCGAAGTTGAGCTGGTCAAAAAGAGAGGAGAGTAACTTTCTCTTTACTGGCCTCCCCACGGTACTCTCCACCGTTCAAGCCAATGTTTCGCGCCAAAAGCCTTTTCGTCCAATTATAAGACGTAGTGAAAACTTTCAGCGAATCACGGTGAGCTGACACAAGTCTAAACTCGTACATACTGATGAAATGTACGGTACTATGACTTTACCTACACTATCGTCGCTGTATGTGCACAAGGCGACACGGTGGACATCTCTGCACCATCGTGCCGGTACCTAGCATTTCGGGCGACCGACTCGGAGGATGAGTCGACCCACCTCCACGCGACGGGAAATCGCGCCTCTGCACGTGCCATGGCTGCAGCACGAGCAGTTTCCTGCAACAAAGCAGGCCTGTAGCTCCGAAGACGGGCTCGTCACGAGCAGCAAGAACTCGCTCATTAAAATTGTCCAGGAGCTCAAGGTGGGTAATCTCATACTATATCGTCTGCTGCATTGCTACAGCGAATATATGTTGCAGTGCTATCGGTTCTTGGATCGTGGTTTATCTAACTACGTGAGTTCATTAATGTTGCAGCGAGGACGCGCTAATATGGACAAGCAACTCGCTCAGCTGGACACCCAGTTGCTGACCATCACGGATTTTCTGGACGGCAAGGGTAACAATATGTTCCCGCCCCACTTGATCATGTACGTGGAGGACACGCCCGACGTTATGGCGCCACTTGCTGGTGACGGTCGAAGACAAGGTGGTGCTGGCAAAGGGGCTGCAGTTGCAGGGAAGTTCAGTGGTATTTTCAAGATTGAATCGGAACCGCCGACACCAGCCTTGGTTGAAGAAGACCTCAACTCGGGTGGGTAGCTTTGTATTAAGAAATGTTGAAGTGGTGGAGTATTCACGAATTATGGGGTTGATTCAGACACACCGTGCACGACGACTGGGCTATGGACGTATTTGTATGCATACTCGTTCTTCAAGACGATTACACCGGAAGACATGGAGCAGGCGTTATTGCTCGAAGGTAAGGCTTGACTTGGTGATTTATTCTGTTCGTCTGGCTAATGTTTTGTGCATGCAGATCCAAACGCATTTTCTGATAATTTGGAACTTAGCGAAGATGGAAAAGACAAGATACTAGCGGGTTTTGGTATTGAGCGCCTTGAGGATATTATCAGCTCCGGCAAGTCCAATCCACTGGATCTGGACGATTTTTTCAAGGAGGTACGTTGAATGAATCGCCGTGTATGCTGAGGTTACGCGTATCTCTGCTGTGTTTAATAGTACATGTGCTGGTGCCAATAGAGACTGGTGGCGTCACTGTGCTCGGTAGACTCGTCGTTATCGGTACAACACCAACACGAAGAAATGTCTTCTTCTCAGCCCGACGATGAAGACAAGCACTCAACTGATACAACTAAATCGGAAGCAGGCACGGGGGTGAACTCTTTATTGCATCCGGGTGATATCAAATCGTGGAATCCCAAAGGCCTTGCACGCGTTCTACGTGACATCGGATTGGTTGAGGGAGACGACAAGGAAGTTGCTCAGATCAGCTCGTCTATTCCGACAGACGATGAAGTTTCGCAGGAGATCCGTTCACTGCAGCGTCAACTTCGAACGTGCATCGAGCAGACGAATGAATCCAAGCGAAAGTTACGCAAGATCATGGACGAGTAAGGGTGGCGATGATGCATTAAACTGTCCGGCACTCACCTTTATTTGTTGTTCTGTGTTGATCAACAGGACAAAACCATGGCTCTCCCAGCAAAAAGAGGAGGACGATGCCACTATTAAGAAATATTTCACCATGTGGCAAACGAAGAAGGTAAATAAGCTGGTTGGTTAACTCGATGGCTGTGCAAAGTTGACGCTTACATCGACTGTATTGATATTTTGGTAGGAGCTTGCGCGGAAAAAGAAGCTTCGAGATAAAAAGCTGCAGCGACGACAAGGTGCGTTGCAGTACATTACTATCAAAATTTTCGGAACCGTAATTGTTGGGTAACATTTCTCAATGCGTAGCTTTACACCTCGGCGGCGGTAGCGGCAAACCTTTAGCCCATGACATTAACGTCAAGCAACGATAGACCACGGTGTCGTGACCCACCGGGGACACCGCACCAGATATTTATTGGCATGCAACTTTAGGGTCGAACTCAGTCAATTTTAACGAGAAACTATTGCTGGTTCCACTCACTTGACACGGACGTCATCAGACTAACGACTGATCGATTGCTTGATGCAGTTGTTGTATTGATTGATTTAGGCGTGTTACTTGCCGAGTGGTGGGAAGTCGTCCTCGATAAACCCATTGCCGTTGCGAGTATTGGCATGCGGCGGCACCCAGTTTCCCTGCCGTGCCGGAAGTCCTTGGGGTGAAGGGTACCCGTACCCGCGGCCCATTACCATGGACGGAGACGGGTTCAGCTGTTGCTGGAATTGCTGTTGCGGGTGGTACTGCTGGTGCGGGGACCTCTGGTACTGGTTGGTGTCTACTCTATTGTTGTAATCGGGTCCGCCAACGTGGTAGCGGCCGCGTCCCGATCCCATGGGCATCGGCGGAGGTGGAGGTGGAGCACTTCCAGTCTGTTGATAGCCATAGGATCTGTCGTAAGATCGATCGAACTGCTGCGATTGATACTCGCCATGGCCATATCGCCCCATTCCACCAAAGCGGTTGCCATAGTGTGGAGATTCGCCGCCACTGCCACTTCCACTGGACGCTCCGCCGCTGGATCGAGGGCGGAAGGCGTCGTGGTTGCGCGTGAAATCCGGATCATTCAGTTCCTGTTCACGGTTGCGCCACAATACTTTGCTTTCTTTCCAGTTGGCAGCGTTCGGAGCACTCGGTTGGGACGATCGTGCGTATTCGTTACTGTCATTACCGCTGGGTCCTTCCTCTGGCGAGCGAGACTGCGATCCACTTGCAATCATAGAAGAGGAAACAGTCCCTCGACCACGACCGAATCCTCTGCTACCATCCGGTCCAGCAGCTTGTCGGCTTCCGTGTCTGAGCACATTATTGCCGGTGTTAACACCACTTCCACTCCCTTCGTACGCCGACGAGGCTGTCGACGACGGAGACGATGATGAAACTGACTCAGCCACTGCGTTGCTATTATCTTCTCCAAAAATTCTTGCTCGCGCCTCAGCATACGCGCGCTCGCGGTCCTGTAAAGTTGGCGTGGCTTTGTCGGCGCCGTTACCGCGTCCACCATTGGCACCGGGTCGTGGTGCGCTGCGTTTCCGCATCATAATTCTTGGTGCTGAAGCGGGCGTCACAGCCGGCGTCTGTCGATCCGCCGACAAGTCGATCAGCAGCACTCGAGGCACAGCCGACTGCGCGGTCTTGAACAGCGTCACCACACGCGCCGAGCTGTTCTCGTACGGATTGTAGTCTGCCGTCTGGTGTTCCAGTCCGCAGCGCTGCGCCAAGCGATGGACAATGAGTCGATGGTACGACGACAGCGGAGGAAAGTTAAGGTGCGGCTCCCGCGGGTTCTTGAGAAAGCGCACAATCTGGTCCTCGAACTTAAGCAGTGTCATCCTTTCGCGTGCGTTCTCCAGACCAGCAACAAGCACGGGATCCAATGGCCCATGGGCACTGGCAGTAGCAGTTCCAACCGGCGCGCTGCTATTAAATTGCTGCTGTTGCGGGTAGTTGCCACCGTCGTCAGTGGCCGGTGGAGGTTGTAGGATGCGAAGGCCCTGCATGGCGCGTGTGGCGCCGTCCAAGTCGCTTGGAGTTTGAGGTCTGGCAGCAATAGAAATTGACCCCGGAGCTCGGGTGTTGGAGCTAGCGACGGACGCGCCATCCGCCGCGGTCTCCCACTCGTCGTGGTCGTCTTGACGCGCTGGCGTCGACGTGGCCATCGCCGGCGCGGACGAGCGGATCATCGTGGTAACGAGTGTCGCCACACGGTAATTAATACGTCAAGCAGGGCGGAGCAGGCGAGGGAAAGAGAGCAGCGTGGCAACTCAGATAGGCTCGGTCGGTCTCAAGGGGGAAAATGAGCTCCTGGTTGGTGGGACTCGAGACCCTGTCCTAACACATTGGATATGCGGTTAGACAGGATCCCGACATGCGTGTCAAAAGTGACCTGGTTCAGCGACCAACGGCACGTTTACTTTCGGACAACGAGCGACTTGATGCGAGGCGCTGCCTTGTGGACACCTCGCGGAGTAGACGATTACCTAATATGCTAATATTACCTGTGTGCTGAGGACACGAGGGCAGCAACGCCCCGCGTCGTAGGCTCCTTCCAACGGAGCTAAATGCTGATAATGGACAACGTTCGTAAATGAACAGCGTCGCCCTTGCTACCGTGGTTCAGATTCGGTTGCCAGGTACACTACCACCGGACAACGACGAGTTCTTGGACCGGTGGTGACGGTTCTTTCTTTCCGACTGCTTCGTCGCCGGCTTTTTCGGCACTCGCCAGCCTGCGCCATCCAAATAAACATCGTGAACGATGTCCGGGTCGCCGAGGCGAGGCCGTTCAATTGACGGCTTCGGTTTTGCAGATACAGCGCTGACAGCAGCAACCGAGTGAGTAGTCGGCATGTCAGTTCCGTTGTGCACCGTGTGCACCTCAACTGGTTCGTCGCGATCGAACTCGCGATGAGCTTCTCGATCGTAATAGCGCTGCAACGTCTGGCGGATCTCCTCTCGCTTGGGGTCCTCTTGCCGGATCACACGGATACGCTCCATGGACGAGGCCTCTTGACGCCGCAAGCGATCGTACTCCTCAGCTTCTTGAGCCTGGAGTTCAAGGGCAAAAGTGTAGTCCGGATCGTTGTCCTCCTGCGCGTCCTCCACTGTCACTTCCTGCTGGATAACGCTCATGACGCCGTTGCCCGAGTTGGAGCTGGGCACCTCCACGAAGCACCATCCGGTCTGGCGGTCCTCGCCGCCGAATCGACCTTCCATCTCGCGCTCCCACTGCTCCTGCTCCTCGCGTTGCAGCTTGGCCGCCAGCTCCGCATCCATCACGTCGTGTAGCTTCACTGCCACGGGCGACGTTGCAGACGCTACGGCGGCGACATTGTTGCCCGACCGGCTCCACACACTTCGTCCAGCGCTCATGATATTCGTTATCAGAGTGGAAGGATTGACCGGAGAGAGGCTTCAACCTAGTGTGACGTAATAGCCGCGTGGGTAAGAAGAGCAGGCTCGATATGTGTGGTGTGTTGCAACAGCAGTCGAAACATGCCATCCCTCGATGTACGGAACATGAACTCCCTTGAATAGAGGGTCTACATGCATTCCGCTCGTGAGTGAGGGTGCGCGAACTTAGTCCAATTAAGTACGATATCATAACTTATCTAAAACCAGAATATTTCTTTGAAAATATTAGTTTAGAAAAAAAATATTAGATTCCCAGGTTCGTGATTCTCAGGATGAGAATTTCAAGATGAGATGGCTGCACAATTGACAGGTCGCTGGATATTGGCAAGCGCGCATGCGAAACAGCAGTCCCCAACGACAAATTGTCGTACATGCACTCGTCGTGTTCATTGAACAGCGTTCAATTTGTTAGAAGCCGTCGGGGCGTCGTGGAGCCACATGCGCATGCGTTTTTCTCCAAGCAGAGATCCCTGGCGCCACCGCGTGCGCACGCACGCGATGCTGGAGGCTTCAGGAACCGTTTACGTCTGTCGAGCATCGATGGCTCGAGGCGCCGAGACTGTGGCAGCGGGTGTTCTCTAGCCGCTTGCGCACGAGGAAACCCGAACGTGCATACACAGTGCACCAGCGGGATCACGACAGAAGCAGCCAGCAGGACCTGGAGTCTAGACTAGCAACTTACCCGCTGCTGCAGTGCAGCGCTTGGTGGCGGCCAGCGCTACATGTATTAGTGTATGTACTTCAAGGTAATGTACTAGAAGGAAGCAAAACGCCGCAACGACACAGCCACACACACACACACACGCTGCACACGCTGCAATAACGATTGAAGATGCTCTTGGCAATTGAGTGGATCGTTTCCACACTTTACCAGATCAGTTTTGTATGGGGAATTGTATCGTGATGGCGAATCGACGCAGTCGCGTTCGCTGTCAATGTGGCGTCTGAAACGATTTTCTCGATGAAAAATGCTGCTGCAGTTGCAAGCTGCGACGACCCAGTGCAGGGCCTGCCGACTGCGCCCGCTACTGGCATGAATCGCGAACTTAAAAAAATGGATAAGTGGATCTCCACGGATGGGTTTCGCTATGCACGCCTTCTCTTGAGACGCTGGTAACGCTAGGGCTCCGGTTCGAGTGGATTTGAGTTGTGGCCTCGCCAGCGGCACCGCAGCGGCGCCTTCCAGGGAAGTCGTCCTGGCAAGCCGTGGATGCAGCCATTTGCCATTTGCCATTGCGCCCGGCCATCAACAGGCAGTTTCGCACCGAAGTTTGGGCGGCTCTTTCTCTCTCGCGGTTGTTCCCACCTTCCTTTTCACGATCGTAAAGCCAGGCCTTTCGCGGCAGACGCGCCAGTGAACTCAAGAGCATTCTCCATCTTCCTGCAGCATCCTGCGCACTTCCGCATTTCGGAGCAGAGAGCAAACCACAGACTTACTTGACGATGCTGGCGTCGCTGTCCGATATGCTGGCGTGGAAGCCCAGCGGCTCCACGGCCAAGCATACGAAGCCGCGTCGCGCACCCACCGCTACGTCCGAGATGGAAGACTCATGCGACGATGTATCTGAGACCGAGAGCGCCGAGTCCAGCCAGTCGGGAGCTCCTTATCTGCGCCGCCAGCAGTCGTGTCCTTCAGTACAGCGCAAGGGTCGGCTGGACACGCAGCCCGAAAGCGAGAGCGACGCCGAGTCTGCGCCTCGCCCTGCGCTCAAGGCAGTCTACTCGTTCGCACGCGCTGGACTCACCTCGTCCTCCAAACTCTTCCTCGTTAAGCCCCGTCACACGCCTAAGACGCCCTCGGGCTCCACTCCCAGGAAGCCGCACTCTCGCAGCATCGACGCCGTCTCGGATCAGGATCTGACCACCAAATCGGCAGGTGCACGCGTAGCCACCCCCTTTGGACTCGGTAAGATCATGGCGATCCGAGGCGACGACGGCGTTGCTGCCATTGAACTGCAGGCGTCCGGACTACTGTTCCTCAATGCTACAGAACTGGAGAAGACACAGGTCGTCCCGGCGCTTGTAGGTGAGCGCGTGCACACGCCGTCCGGATCCGGACGCGTGTTGAAGTATGATATCCGTGAGCAGCTGTACACGCTGCGCTTAGGAGCAGGCGGTGGCCTTGGTGAGTATGAGCTCCAGCTCCGACCGTCCGATGTCCGAGCGGCAGACATCAGCAAGAATGGACAAGGATCGGTGCAGCGGCGTCCACGGGGAATGTCGGAGGGCAGTAATGTGGACTGGGAATCGAGACGTACGCGCTCCAGACGCTCCAGTGCCAGTCCGCCCCCTGCTGTTGCAGGCTTGACGTTGCTCAAGAACATTGCTACGACCTCGTACACGTTTGTAGCGAGCAAATACCACCAGGGACAGCCCGTGATCACCAAGTTTGGCGCCGGGCATATCCTCTCGGTGGACCCGCAGCGCGGATCGGCACAGATTCAGCTCGTATGGGGCGCGGTGGCATACCTTAACGCCGATATGATTGATTTCTACCCCAAGGCGCTGGAAGGCACCGACGTGCAGACTAAATTCGGATCGGGGATCGTCATTGGACTGAGACCAGCCGATGCTATCTACACCGTGCGCTTGCATGACCCGCAACCTGCCGGGAAGTCTGATGTGGTTTTTGTGCATGAGTCTGATCTGCACCGGAGCCGGAGGATCGTAGTCACGGCTGCGAATGTTCGTGACAGACTGAAGGCAATGGCCCAGCGGCGTTTCGGTGAACGCATTGTGGTGGCTCACCAGAACCACGATGAGGAGCCCAACTCCGCAGGTATTTAACTTCGGTTAGCCTATCCAAGCGACTTCCGGCCTTGGAGTTCATTTTTGATGGCGAGTGGGGAGTGAGGGCGATCAAAGACCTTCCTCCTCTTTCCTCTCTCCCATTAGTTTGTTATCGTGAGTATTTTCACTTAGTAAGTCCACCGACACAACCACCGACGAATGCAGCCGAGCTATCCTAGCTGCTCTGATACTGAATTGAGTGCAGCGCCGACCAAAATCAAAACGAATTCGACCCAACCCACAAAACTAATCTAGTCAACGAGGTACAGATAAATGGCGATGCCAATACATACCGCTTTTTTCCACAGGGAGAGGAAGCGAAAGCAGAAGTGGCCGTGTTTTGTTGGAGAATAGTGTGTCTCTCATGGCCAAATTACCAATGCTAATAGGCCTGCCTAAGGCAGGCTGCTTTAATTGTCCAGACCTCATCTCTAGGTACTATTGGTGCCGCCTGTTCTCGTTGCGGGTGTTCGCTGCCAGTCTGCCCCCAGGAAAGTCGTATACATGCAACCTTCATTCTTTTTGACGACATTGCCGTCTCGGTACACGAGATCAAAGCCTCCCACATGCTCCTTGACAACCCCTTCAGGTCTCCTGCATTCACAAAATTGTGAAATGTCGATGTGACCGAAGATTGTTTTAAAGAGCTCGTACCTGCTCTCGAGGTCGATTATATCGAGCATGTCGTTCAACATCCCGCATTTGAGCTGATAATCTGATGAAGTGTTGGCTGAAAGCTACAATATGTGTTCAAAATATTCTGGTTTAGATTGAGTCTGAATTGAGGAAACACTCACATGTACTACGTACGGAAGGCGAAGCGTTCACCTCCAACAGCCACGGCTTGAGGTTTTCATCGATCATGATGTCGTAGCCGTACAATTCGAAGCAGTGTTTGTCGTTCATGATGATCTTTTCAACGCTGTACGAGAGAGCGAGTGTGGGTTGTTAGCCTTGAAGCTCAGAACAATAACAAATATTTGACACTTGCCTTAGTAAAGACTTGATAATTACAAGCTGAATCTCGTAGAAAAGCTTGTTGACTCGTTCTGGGCCATGTTTCGACATCATGTAGAGCTTCAGGTTGCGTAGGTCCCATTTCCCACCATGCTGTTACCCAAAACACAGCGTTAGACGTAAATACTTCAAGCACTTGTTTTTTGTGGTGCAAACCTGCTTGTTGTAGTTCTCGGAGGTTTTCTGAACAGCCACATTCGTGAGGTGTATGAAGGAATTAGCAATGTCGCTGTGATTATTCGAGTAGCGCGAGTTGGTGAAGCGCGCGAAGCCACCACGGAAAAGGTAGATTTCAAGAGGAAAGAAGGACGGCACGAGTGCATATAATCGAAGATCGAATTTCTTGCCACCAACAAGGTACGGGCTTGAGATGTAGCGCTGCACGACGTACGTCTCAACCTGTTGATTTTCAGGCCGCCAGCGGAAGTCTGTACGCCAGTCGCTGATTTGGCTCAGCTTCGTGAATAGGAAGATACCTTTACCTTGGGCTCTAGTTAATCGCAAGCAAAAATTGCAATGCGTTAGCAATTGGCCAAGTGAGCGCTGCATTGTTAAATGTACTCACTTTCCAATGGGCTTCATGATCCAAACGCCCTGGTTGCGTTTAAACTCCTCAACAAAAATGGCATATTCTCCTGGTAGAATGTACGTGACAGGAAAGAAATCGTACGAACCCAGAGTCGTGTCGAGTTCGCTTAAAGTGGCGTCTTCCGATCTAGTAATATGATGTATTGTCAAACACGACAAGCTCATTGATCAACTCCACAGAAAATCTCCAACGCACCTCGCTTTCTTGTCCATTTGTCGCTTTGCGCGCTTCAGGTTCTTGATGAGGAGGTCTTTCCGACACAACTACAGACAATAAGTGGTGTAAGAAAGTTGTGACTGCATTGTTCATCTCCAAGAGAAAATAATACCTCTCGACCATTCCGATAATGATTCACCCGCTGAGTGTTCTCGAGGTGAACAGTGTCTAGAAGTTCGTAGATATATTCCCTGTCGGCCCAGTAGAAGTCCCAATCACTCTCCGTTGTCTCCTTCCACCCGCGACGCAGCATTGTGTCGTAAATAGTGTTGCGAAATGTGGTCTTGAATCGTATCACACTATTGCTGCTGCTCGTTGTGTTACTACCACCGGACACCGAGCCTTTTCCTTTTGAGCTATTTACCCCACTACCGGAACCTGCCGTACTACTTGGCTCACCTCCACTGCGAATTTGCCGCACGGCTCTCGAAGATCCACCACTGTTTCCACCAGCGCTGGAAGGGGCATCGGCTTTCTTGTCCGCTCCTGGCATTCAAAGCGAAGAAAGAAAGAGCCCGCTACTTATAATCTATCGAGCCCGATCCAAGCCACAAGGCGGTTTTCCTGTCGACTGTTGACCGATCTATATTTTGGAAATATCGACACCTTGGGGCAAGGTGAAGCAGATATTTTTTTTTAACTGCTTGTAGATAATGTAATTGCTTACGTGTATTTGACACCACCCATGAACGTGCGTGGGTCAGGTGCAGCGCCGTTGAACTCAGCGTTGGAGAAATCAAAGCCAGGATTCTCCTCTTGGAAGCGCTCCAACATCATCTGCTGCTTGGTAGCTTCCTGCTGCATTGGATCCAACTGCATCGATTAACCATAATAATGTTGCGTGAGGAACACATCCTTTGTCATGTATTGGGATAGAATTGCAGTAGCGTACCTCTCCATGTCCAACGAAAACGCTGGGCCAGATAAATCCCTTCTTCATTTTCTGAAGATTGATATTTAGTTCTCCGGAGTCTACTCAGACGCAATTAAATTGTGTTAGACTTCTCTGCTGTATTCACCACATTATCATCAAGTACCGCTAGTACAACTTACCAAACATCCAGTAGCTCTCAGCGACCACAACCGAGCTCGCGAGGTCATGCTGGATACCAGACCATTCACACGCGTCAGAATCATAGCAATTGTCGTAGTAAATACGAAAGCCCACGTACGTTAAGGAACTTGTCCGTTGCGCCACGCAGTCCCAGCGTCACGTGGTTGGTAGTGATGTCGCATTGGATCTGTTGCGCTGTGACCCCTGGTGGGGGCTTGATGAAAATGTTCACCTCCTCCATGGACTGCTCCCACTCGTAGATGACGCGGCCTACGATGTCAGTAGCAGCACAATACAACAGACGGTTAGTTGAACGTTTTAGCGTGCTGGGGTAGCAGTGATGTATCGCACCGTCATGCTTGAAGACGCGGCGCTGGCTCACGGTCGCCATGGTTTTCAATTTTGCAGTTGTGATCCGTAAAAATGCGACTCAACCTTGGGAAAACATTTTTTTTCAAATGAATTGCCAGCAATATTATTCTTCGAATTTGTAAATACACGGCTTCAACTTGACATTTGCTCCTTAAGGTTTCTCTGCCATTAGCCTAGTGCTCTGTTGCGCGGAGTCTTGCAATCTTGATGACATACTTGCAGACGGAGACAGCTGCGGTGAATTATTTTACGCAACGATATTCTACTCGTAATCTAACCTACCTGGATTGAGACTGCCTTTAGCCGAAGAACAGAAAGATCTTCAGGCGCTGACAGCACTCGTCGCCTACCAGACGGAGGCCACCGCAATCCAGCAATAGATTCTGCGCGGCAACGAGCAGTTCCGTCATATTGGCCCTGTCCACCGCAGCATCAGTGAGCCCTACTTTCTTACACGTTGCCACGCGGGCCTCACCGAACTGGTCATTGATGTATGCAGAGAACGCCAGCTTATCATCCACCGACCAGCGGGTAAACACGGAGCGCGTTCTAGGCTCCAAGTTACGGTTGTTATCAAGATGTAGGCCGCCAACACCGCGCGTAGCTCCTTCAGATCCGTCCTCATTCTCGTCACTGCCACGTTCATATCGGTGTGGTCCGACCGACCGCCGCTGCATCCGAGCCCGACGGCGTACAAGAGACTTGTACGCTTCTGTCTGGCCTACCAGACGCTCCACTAGTTCATCCAGAGCACGGTTTCGAACTGGAACTGTCTTCACGACGTCACGGCACTCAGGACAAGACAGTGAGTTGCGGAACCAGTTGCTGATGCAGTGTCCGCAAAACGTATGAGAGCACGGCAGCGTTGCACTGCCATGAAAATACTCCAGACACACGGAACACATCATTAGCCGTTCGCGCTCTTCTTTCTCGTTCTCTCGGGCTCTTTTAGCAGCAGAGCTGGGATCTCCATCAATTGCTGTTTCCTCAACAACGCCGCCACGACGCGAGCGTTTCCTCTGTTGACTATTGGGCGTATCGTGTTGTCTGTTTCTCTCCACATTCTCATTCTTGCTCGGACTGCTGCGACTCCTCTTCTGTGAAAGATTCTGCGGGGGGACTGTCATCATGTTCGACTCACTGTTCGGTGTCCCTGCCATCGATCGACATCCCGTCCTCGTAAACGCTGGACTTCCAGCGATCGTCACAGCTGATCTACCAAATCCCGTCGCCGCGACGGGCGCATTTGTCATCACAACTCGTCGTGGTGAGCGGCGAGGGGACACCGCCGGAGTTGTCGTCCGACGATGCAACGGCGCAGGCGACGGAGCGGCAGGACGTGCTAGCACCTTGACTATAATACGTGAATGTGCTTCGTCTGGAAATTGAACAAGCAGACGTACGCACTGCCGCATAGCGGACGCCAGCACCACTTCGTCTCCGTTATGGAGCTCCTGATTGCCTCCTTTTGGAATCTCCACGCCGTTCACTGCTGTACCATTCATCGTGTCCAGATCATATATTAGCCAACGACGCTTCGCAGGTGTAGCATGTGCTGAACTGGCCAGCGTTTCGGTCACAGGGACGATGCCTACGTGCCGCTTGCTGACAGTGCGCGTCTCCTCGGATGTGGCGATGCTGACCTCGCAGCCGCGACTGCGGCCCACGCAGAAAGAGGTGGAAAACTCCCATGACCCCATCATGATGTCGTGCAGCATGTTGAAGTGGAATCAGGACTGGGAGGGTCTACTTAAGCGAGTATCAACGTAAAGAGGCTCGCGTTTTGCTGTAAACTGAAAGCGAATTGCTTGCTGTTGATTGATATAGCTCGTCGTCGGGATGGGATAAGACCTGGACGAGGTGAAGAGACGTCTGGAAGAAAGATGCTCGGGGTCTGCGGCGCCGGATGGGAATGGAGATCGTCGTGGCGGAGCGACGTAGAGAAGGTAAGGCGGGACAGGCGCCGTCGCTTGGTGTTGGCTGTGACTGGGGTCGTGAGTTTCCTTTTCTTTTTAGCCAATAGACAAACTGTATGCTTATAAAAGTATGGGATTGGATGAAATGCTTACAACTGAGTGATGTTCATCAACATGGGCTCAAAATATGCTAAATAAAAGGGAGTAATCTGTCAAATATCGCTGAACCAAGGACCTAAACATTGAAAATTAAAAAAGAAACTTTCCAATTAGCCAGATATTCTATACTGAAGAAAAAACGCACTGCAAACTATGTTTCTATAGAGGATTCGCCACCCTGTGATCTTATCAACCAAGAGGAAAAGAAGGGAGGCAAATTGACCTGCCATTTTCAACCGCGCCAGGTTGACGCAGACTCGCTCCTCGCTCCAGTCAGTAACAGTTCTTGTCGGTGTGTTTCGCTCCAGTTTCGCTTCATTGCCACGCTCTAAATTCTACAGTAGCTTAAGCGAAAGATCTCGACGATGAGTGGGAAGAACATGATCTCGCTCGAGGAAGGTTGGGACCAGGAAATTAAACCCAAGGCCATCGACGTGCTGCTGGATATCCTGGACAAGGGCTTTGATCAAGTGAAGGTGTCGCCCTTCCCGCCCAATGCCTTCATGCCCATCTACACGACGTGCTACAATATGTGCACACAGCGCTCGCCGTACAATTTCTCCGAGCAGCTTTACGACCGCCACGGCCAGACTTTCGACACGTATCTGGAGCAGAAGGTGCTGCCCAGTTTGGAGCAGGCACATGACGAGTTCTTCTTACAAGAACTCGTCAAGCGCTGGACTAACCACAAGCTCATGATGAAGTGGATGACCCGCTTCTTCATGTACTTGGATCGCTACTACGTCAAGCACCACTCGCTGCCGACACTGGACGATGCTGGGCTGCAGAGCTTCGACCACATGGTCTTCCAGAAGGTCAAAGTACGCGTTAAAGACGCCATGATCGAGCTCATTGAGAAGGAGCGCAACGGAGAGATCATTGACACGACGTTGATGAAGAACTGCGTCGAGATCTTTGAGGTCATGGGCATGAAATCCCTCGACGTCTACCAGAGCTGTCTGGAGGCGGACCTTGTAGCCACTAGCGCTGTCTACTACGAGCGCAAGTCCAAGGGCTGGCTCAGTGAAGACTCGACGCCCGTGTACCTCCAGAAGGTCGAGGAAGCTCTGCAGAGCGAACGCAATCGTGTGCACACATACCTGCACAAATCCACGGAGCCGAAACTCGTCAAGAAACTGGAGAGTGTGCTGCTTGAAGCGGCACAGAAGGAGCTCATTGAGAGGGAGAACTCTGGTGTCATTGCATTGTTGAAGAACGATAAGCTCGAGGACCTGGCGCGTATGTACCGTCTGTTTGCTCGCCTTAAGAACGGACTGGAGCCGATTGCAGACCTGGTGCAGCAGCACATTACGGCTGTGGGTAACGATATCGTCGCCAAGCGCGCTAATGCTGTAGCTTCGGGCAACGTGCGTGACCCCAGCTCGGACCCCACGTTTATCAAGGATATTCTCGCTATCCACGACAAGTTCCGCAGCATCGTGAACGAGCAATTCGCTGGTAATTCGCTGTTCCAGAAGGCTCTGAAGGAAGCTTTTGTCGAGTTCGTTAACAAGGATGTGGGTCCGGACAGCTCGGCCAAGCTGATGAGTACGTTCTGCGACCGTATCCTCAAGACTGGAGGCGAGAAGCTCAGTGATGAGCAAGTGGAGGACTATTTGGAGAAGGTGGTGTTCGTGTTCTCGTACCTTACGGACAAGGATCTATTCGCTGAAATCTACCGCAACCAACTTGCTAAACGTCTGCTGAACCAACGCTCTGCTTCTGCAGATGCCGAAGTGCTGATGATCGGTAAGCTCAAGCTGCGTTGTGGTGCGCAGTTTACCGGTAAGATGGAAGGCATGATGAACGATCTGGCTATTGGAAGTGACCACCACCAGGAGTTTGAGGGATTCTTGAAGAAACAACGTGAAAGCGACTCGAACGAGGCTGCCTTGAATCTCGAGTTTAGCGTTCAGGTGCTGACGACCGGTTACTGGCCGTCGTACCGTATTTTGGAGGTCACAATGCCGCCGCTTATGGTCCGATGCATGAACCTCTTCAAGGTATACTACGACTCGAAGACTAGCCACCGTCGGTTGCAGTGGGTACACTCGCTGGGTAACGCGACGATCCGAGCCAACTTCCCCAAGAAGAAATGGTACGATCTGCAGGTGTCGACGCTGCAGGCTGTTGCGCTGCTTCTGTTTAATGAAGGCGAAGGCGCGTTGTCGTTCGAAGCTGTACGCGAGTCGCTGAACCTTACAGTGGATGTGGTGAAGCGCATTATGCACTCACTATCGTGTGGTAAGTACAAGCTACTGACCAAGACTCCTGCCGGCAAGACGATCTCGACCAGCGACCAGTTTGCCGTGAACAAGACGTTTGCTTCACCGATGCGTAAGCTGCGTATTCCGATGGCTTCTCTGGAAGAAAGCCACAGTCAGAAGAACGTTGAAGAGGACCGCAGTATCGCCATAGAAGCCGCCATCGTGCGTATCATGAAGGCACGTAAGACGCTTCAGCACCAGCAGCTTATCTCGGAGGTGCTGAGCCAGCTGGCCTTCTTCAAGCCGAATCTCAAGGTGATCAAGCGTCGTATCGAGGCTCTTATCGACCGCGAATACCTCGAGCGCGACCCCGATCAAGCCAACACGTACCGCTACCTCGCATAAGCGAATTACCGGAGTCCCGTATGACACAGCGCGTTTGGTTCGATATATGGCGCAAATAAACGTGTCTTTGGTCCTGATAGCATGAAGTTGTGTCGTTTTGTGGATTAAAATGCAGGTTAAATGGACAAGAGTGGTGTGTCTAAGGAAAGGTGACCGACTGCGTGTGTATTACAGTGTGGATATGCATCTACTTTTTGAAGAACCGGTTGAGTGCCGTGGGTGCGCTCTCTGCCTTTTCATTCCACTGGCGCTGCTGTTCCTGCCGCTCTTGACGTTTCTGCTTGTTGGCTAGCTGCTCGCGGAATTGCTGCTTCTGTGCGTCCACGACGTTCTGTTGCTTCTTGCGTAGTCGTCGCGATGGACGGTTCTTGCCGCGCATTTTCTTCTTAGGCTTCTTGGCCGTACCGTCACCGTTGGCACGCTGCATCTGGTAGATCTTCTTCTCCTGCTCCTCGGCTGGGTTCATGTCCACACGGCCGATGCTGCTCGGGTCCAGTGTGATCATTTCCGGACGAATCTTCTCCAGCAGTGAGCGCACCTCTGACTCGTCACGCTGCTTGTGGTTCTCGTACGGATTGGCCTCGTACGTGTCGAAGTTGGGCTCACCGGAGCCAGGGATCACGATAGAGTTAAAACCCGTGGCGTGGCCAACACCCAGCACATCTTCGAAAGGACGGAAGGCCAGCGAGCTGACCATGGAGCCAGGAATCTGGTATGTCATGTATGGCCGGATAGGCGAGCCCGACGAGAAGGTGCTCTTGAGCACGTGCACGTTGGGGCCGAAGCCCACTGCCACAAGTCCACGCTGACTCACACTCAGTGTGTTGGCTGCCGCGCTCAGATAATAGCTGTTCACTTCCTGGTATTTGCGCAGATCAAACACCTTCACCTTCCTGTCTGCTCCAGCAGTGATGAGATACTTTCCGCTGTTGTCGATGCCCATGGAGCGAACTGCAAACAAGCAACAAAAAAACACACAATCCAACTGTAAGTCAAGCGTACACTGAAGCAAAACAACAGCAAGAAGCTCAACATACTCGGTCCCTGATGGCACTGCATCTTGACGACAGCATCCGACATGTTGGGCGTCCAAAGCGTCACAATACCACTCGCGTGACCAAGGTTCACAACGGCATTCCACGGATTCAACGCCATAGTATCACACAGTCCCTGCTTGGTGCGGTGCGTGGACACCTGCTTTCCTTCTGTCACGTCGTGGTAGGTCAACAGTCCATTGCCGCTCACACAAGAGAGCAGGAAGTGGTAGGGCAGGAACTCCATCCTGCGCGGCTCCGGAATCGTTCGGATGCAATGTGCCTCGGCGCCAGTGTTGTCGTAAATGTACACGTGCTTTTTCTGCGCCGCGGCGAAGAGCGAGTCGTTGTGCAGGAAGCTAATGTCGCGCACAAGGTCGTTGGCCTGGAATTCGCACGTAAGCTTCATACGCAGCGCATCCATTTGCGCCAAGTGGCCTTTCTGACTACCAAGCAGCATGTTGCGTCCATTACGTGTGTATTTGACGCGGTAGGCGCCGTAGTCCGGCAGGTCCAGACTGAATATCTTGCGCGCTGTGTTGATGTCCACATTGTCTGCGAGCTGCTGCTGCGTGAACTTATATGTCTTCTCGAGACCTTCAGCCTCAAGGAAACCGGCCTGGTCAGGCAGCAGGATCTCGGACTTTGCCGCAGACTCAGCTGCCAGCTTTTGCTTCTCATGAGCGCGTTGCAATGAGCCCTTGAGCTTCTTGTCGCGGATGCCACGAATGGAGACGCCAACGCCGCGCGTGTACTTGCCTACGTGCTTGACTTTTTCCTTCTTAGCTTTGGGCTTCTGCTGACCTAGACGCTTGGGTGCCTCGCGCACTACGCGCTCCACGTCCTCGTGCTCCGACCCACTGTCATTGTCAGCCATGGTCATGCCTCAATGCCGAGATGAAATGGCTGGCCAAAAGCTTGCAGTCGATTTAGAGCACCGTGTTGATTTTAGAGGGACATAAGTTCGACTGTTTAGAAGTTCTAAATTAATTTTACAAATGCCGTACTACTGTTTTACTAATAATTCTATGGGACATGAGAGATCTGATTGGCCGGGATAGCATTCAGACGAAAAAACCCATTAATTTTATAATGGGTTTTTTCGTCTGAATGACAAGCAACGACTGTCAGCTCCTTGGCTTTAAGGACATGAATCGGTAATATGCGAGTTCCATATATTATATGAATATTGCTGTATTACACAAATATTAATTTTCCTAAATAATACTAAATGTAATTCGCAGCGATGCAGTACTATATTATTATACAGTACTACTATTTCTAGATCCCGAAATGGGCAAGGCCAGCCAAAAGTTGGTAATCCACTGAAGACCGTCATTTCTGAAGGCACCAGACGACAGGATGGTATCAGTGTCCAGTACGCGTGACAAGTAGCACACCAAGTATGGTCTGTGCTGTGAGGATTGCCAGAAGGTGAAGATCTCAGTACTAATCCCTGTACAGCAGCGTTGTGCAATCAATTATTGAAATCAATATATTGCAGCATTGGCGCCCAAATATAATGTCAGTATTGTATCTCAATATTTATTGTGCCTTTCAACTCTTTTGGCAAATCGGGCAACGAAAACACAGCTCAAATAGATAGGGTTAAGTTGGCACCTTCGTTTTACTGGTAAGTTGGACACGATTTATCAATGGACTTTTAGCCACGTTCAATTTTTTTTTTCCAATCATGTAAGCCAGTGTTTTTTTGTTGCCCAATCACATCGAAAGTGCTGTAGTGCTTCATAGGATGCAAACAACTAGCCTCAAGACAAGTGAATGCTCGAATGGCTGGTAACTGTAAATCCATTCGAGGTTTTCTTCTCCGGACCATTATAAGATGACTCAATCAACATGCGCTGGATAGACATCATACTTATGTACGTCTACTCTATAGATACTGCAACAGTGGCTAGTGTCCTCGGTATATCTGAACGCAGCTTAGGGCGTTGGCACAGGCGGTTCCGCATAACCGGGAATGTTGTTAAGAATGAACCAATGTCCAGAACATCACGATGGCCAAGTAATGTGTGTGAGTTCGTTCGGCAATACGTGAAAGTCATCCCTGCTTCTATTTTGAGGAGCTACGACAGGAGCTACGAGCCCACTACAGGGACACAGTCAATCTATCAGACTCAACTATCTGTCGGGCCCTCCGCTTCGACCTCAAACTGTCAAGAAAAGTATTCACAAAGCAAGCGCGGGAATGCGTCCCTAGGGAGCACCATGAATATGTCGCCCGACTCCTCCCTTACTATAGTGGGCCCGGCCAACTCGTCTTCATTGACGAAACGTCCATGGACGGAAGGTAAGTACTTTTGGTATACAGTGTGAAGTGTATTTAAAATTATAAAAATTTTGTTATTATGTTTTACTTAGGTCTGTTATTCGGCGATACGGATAGTCAGCACAGAATACTCGCGCCCATGTTACAATGCCTTTCAGTCGAGGGAAAAGAGTGTCAATTTTGGCAGCAATGGACGTAAAGGGCTTTTTTGAATGGGGAAACGTGGAGGGGACATTCATGCGTTTAGAGTTCCACAACGTGTTCAAGAAAAATATCCTCCCGTTTCTCAATCCATGGCCACTGCCACGATCCATTGTTATCCTGGACAACGCAAAGATTCATAAGTACAAGGAGCTGTAAGCTATGGTACATGCCACCGGAGCTCTCTTGTTCTTTTTGCCACCCTACTCCCCCGATTCAAATCCCATTGAGGTGGGGTTCTCGTTGATACAACGGTGGATCCAACGACATGCTAATATGGCCTTTCTGTCGGTTATCTCTACTGCTCCATAATTTCATCGATGTCGTTCATGTGTTCTTCATTTTCAATGTTATTTGCTGGAGCTAGTGTGTCAGTATTTGCCGGAGGTCTAAAGCGGGGTCGCAGGCTATAATTCGGTAGCTCGAGTGCGTCTCGTAACTCTCCAATATTTCACCTGCACGGGTACCACTGCACCGTGAAGCTTAATACGCACGACTCGATATTCGCACGCTCTTTGTAGCTGCTCCTCGGTCATTGCAGCATCCACAGCTGCTTGCTGGGTATCAATATGGTGGAGCTGACGGAAGGTGATGCTGTCCGGTACCTGTAAGGGGGCTCCTTCAGGTAGTCGTGCTTGTGTGACAGCCATGTATCTCTCTGACGCAGGTCCAGCTTCAACTTGCTGCTCTCTCAGGAATGCTGCCACACGTGGCATCTGCTCTTGAATTCGGGTGGCACTTGCACGGCGGAAATATATCGGTGCCTCCAGCTTAGGGACGTAGACAAAAAGCTCCAACTCAAAGCCAGCCTGTCCATTCCGCCTCCGCCTTGCTCTGGTCCAGACTTCTTTCAACTGAGCTAGAAGCCTGCTGCCTCTTGGCTAACTACTTCAAACCACTTCTGCTTGGCGTTGTTACTGGGTTTCAGACAGATGTCGAAAGTTGCTCTCCACTGACCTGGTAGTTTAATCTCGAAATGCTCCTCAACCATTGCTCTCGGACGATTATTTTCGTCTGACACATTGTATAAAAATGTGGGGGACTTCGTCGCGACATGCGCCAAATGGCTCCCCGTTCTTGATAGTGAGTCGACAGGTTAGCGAATCTGGTAGGGGGATATTCTCCATTTACGGCCGCGATCTTTTGCCAACACCAATGACACCAAACACTGAGGATGCACCGCTATCCACCGTCTCACAGGCTGTCCGACTTGGTGATCCACAATGCACACACCACTCACTGTAGGGTGCGCTGGTTACAGCCCTTCCTCGCTCCCAAAGGCGCCTCGCTGACGTAGAAGCCTTGTTGCTCAGCTGGTGTCTTTGAACTGCATCTCCTCAGGTCGCGTTCATGTCATTACATCATATCTAAACATTAGTGGGCTACTGCACCTGTACAATCGGGTTTTGCTGTGTGGGAACACTTGATCTGGAAAGTATCTGCCTCATATAACAACAGCGAGACAAATACGGCGCCTCAGAACTTATGCTCAATCCTTACCTGTGTCCTGTGCATCGTTGCTCAAAACCCTTTCTCACGACCTGCAGCTCTAATTCAACAGAAACTTGCAATGGCACCAGTGCTGACAACACGACACACACACACACGCACACCAAATAATACCACCGGGAGGAATTGAACTTCCGTCCCCCATAAGCAGGACTCTTCCGTTGAGCTACGATGGTGATAGATCGTACTGTGTGTCTCGCCGGTGGGGATACTAGCTTCGTCCGTGTGGTCCCACACGTTGCTTGCTTTTGAGCCGACGAAAGTTTGAATGGGACACGCATTCTTGTGTCGGCTGTCCACTGATGTATTTTATCCAATCATGTAACCCAAAGATTAAGTCAAATTTTACTGTCCGCTGTTACAGATTAGAAAGTCCCGTTTATCTCGGAGCTCTCTTCAGAGATATCTCTGAAGAACGGTAAAACGACATAAAGGCACAATAATTGTTGTTGCTATTATGCTGGTGCCCAGCACTTAAGTACGTTTTCACTAAAGTACGATTTACATTCCCCATAATTTAACCAAGTATACTAATTTGACCAATTCAATACACATATTTGTACAATACTAACTGTGGCGCCAGAGTAGATCTCAACCAATTTTCAATACAATTGTCCCAACGCTGCTGTACAGTCTGCGGTACGAGTAGACCAATTGTGTACCATTGGTAAGTTTAAGGCCAGGGACAGCGCTGTGAGCGAGAGGTATATGTTAGTATGAATCATGCTATCATGTTGTGATGCCAGGTTCTGCAGCCTAGCATGGGTGGAGAATGTGTACCTAATCAAGACTTCAGTACTGCCCCAACAATGAACGCTATATGGTACGTTGACACAATTGCAGCTGCTTAAGGTGGACACTAAATGCATACAAGAAGTTGATCCTCCGTTCTGGTTTCTCTTTAGCGATGAAACTATGTGAGTACGCCTTGGCATCCTCATCCAAAACCCTAGGCATCAGCAGAGCCCTGAAGGCTCAAGAATACTTCGTATATCGTCGGCAGGACTAACCGTCCCCGATGAGTTCGTATATGTTGCGATGAGACCGTTGCCGTCGATGTGCTTAAAGTGCATGCAGAGTCCGAGATCTAAGTAATTGAGCTTCATCAAGTAGGCAACTGCTAGCACAGTTTTACGTCAAGGCCTCGCCGCGGCGTTGCTACACAAACTCAGTGTCGGGAGGAGCAGTGAGCATCGGCGCGTTGGCCTATTGTGCCCGCAGATGCACATTTTGCCAGCAGAAAACTGCTGTCGAATGTCTGGAAAGCAGCCGCTCGACCAACATATTCCGATGCGTAGCATGTGTAACACTATAACTGACAAAGACGAAGTCGTGTACGGACAGCCAAAGTTCGCTGAATCCCCGTCCCAAAATTGATCATGTATGAGATAGCGTTTGCCTCCAAGCTGGTCCATTACAGGTGTATCGGAAGCGTCTTCATCGACCTCGTGCGGGTGTGAAGTGAAGTATTGACCGAGGTCTCGATCTCGCTGAATCCAGCGTTTCATAAGCTTAATCTTTATCCCCTATTGAGCATACTGATTATCCCCTATTGAGCATACCGGTGCTCACCAACATACGAGTACGATCACTTCAAAATAGGTTTCCAGTAACATATGCAAGCTTAGAGCTCTAAACTTGGCACAATATTTCCTGAAGGGACCAACCATCATATACTTAGTTTTGATCTTCGTCATAGCCCCCCCCCCCCCCCCCATTATGACCAAAATGCACGTTGGAACCCGTGTACGTGGCAAGACGAAGAAACTTAGGGGTAAGATTGATGCTATCAAGGTTGTGCGGCGAGAGTTCTGCCAGCTCAAGTACGACGTGCAGTGGCCAAGCACTGGAGCGACAATGGATTACAAGAAACTGGACTCACAGATTATTTAGCACACTATTAGGCATGGTGATCGTGGATAGCTACCTAGCATGTAGCAACGATATGACCATGGAGCTTCACTTGACTTTAGTGATTTGTTTATCAGGTGGCCTACCAGCTCATCAACAACGAACTTCCAGCATCTAGGACCAGGCGCAGCGGGTTGTCAACAGTTGATATAGATAGCGAGTACATCGACGAGCTTAACTCTCACCACCTCAAGGCGCTCATTGATCTCCCTCACTATGCGCCAGCTCGAGAACGAGGTTCACGAGCACGGGGGCTTTGTGGTGAATGCAACACGAAGGCTACATTCTACTGTGTGAAGTGCTTGCCCGGTCGTTAATTGCTGAGAGCTAAAACCTTGCTGGTACCCATTTCTGTTGGCTTCAGTCGTGTTGTAGGGAAAGTTCATCGGGTCCAAATTTGGGTCTATTTGAAACCGATATGAGCAGGACCAGTTAGTGGCCGACTAGGAAAACTCACCGTCTGCCAGTACCAGCTCTCTCGTAACGAGGCGTCTAACGACGTCCATCATCATCATGTGCTTCCTTATCTTGCCTGTAGGAGCGACTAACGGGGGGAAAGGGTCCCCTTGCGGACTTCTTTGATGGCAGGGTCAATGTTAGTTGATGTTGTCGTTGGCCGTCAGTTCGGAAGTGAAATGGTCACATGTCATCTCTCCGACACATCCTTCAGCTATTTCTTCGCTGGTTTCTTTCCCTTGACTGGTTTTCGGGGCTTTGACCTTATTAACCAAGTGCCTATCCTTATCCTTCACTTATTGACCTATCACACACCTTCAATTCGGCCGCATACATTTGTGCCAATATTGTGGCATAACAGTTAACCACTCAGCTGTACCAGTGTCACCTTTGACAGTGCCACCTCTACACAATGACAACCGTGTCCTGAGCTATACCAAAGATAGCGGTCAGATACCGCACTCACTAAAGCCATCGATGGCGCTTGTAGTCTTGGCGATAAGAGCCCAACGGTACGCGGTGCACAACATTTCAAAAGCATTCGTCTTTCTGACAACATGATTGTTGATGGATCATAACTGCTCTAGCATTATATCGTGCCCACAGTAATCGCATGACTGGATAAGCGTGACATCATATGTTCAAAATAAGCCCAATGCTGGCATTGTCACGAGCATGATCCCATACTCGACACAGGTCTCAGCTGCTTCTATATTGTAATAACCCGTGAATACATATTAGAATACCTGTTTGCACAGTAAAACCATAGAATTGCGTACCTGCATCAATGTGCGTTGAGATATTGTCCACAATGTGTCGCGCTAGCTTGGTTTGGTAAGTTTCAACGCGGCTATTGTGCTAATGACGACTTTACTCTGGATCGGGTTCATACGATATCAGTCGCTATCTAGGATCTCAGTCATAGTGACGTTCTTACGGATAATTAGGTCGTTAGAATTGGTCTCTTTGGGAATCTACTGAGGCTCTCTTGTGTAAGTTAGCTCGAGCTTCGGGTTGTATGAGCTGGCACAAAGCTATTATTGTTCAATTTGCTTTCAAAAGCACTGGTCGTGTCATACAATGAGCACCACCGGCTTCTGAAGGTGAGCCACGTTCTGTCCCCCAAAAAAGTACAGCCATTGAACAAAGAAACAAAATTCTTACTGAACCTTTTATGGCTCGAGTAATAACCTCTGCTTTAATTCTTAGCGCAGCAAAATGTCCTCCTAGAAGAGCCGCACGCCGACGAAGAGATAGGGTATAGCGGGCCCGTCCTCCGATGGCCATGACACAGCGCTGCATTGCAGCGATCCACTCCACCAGGTCACGCTCTAGCTTGGGTTACATGACGGTGTTGGACAGCACGGCTCTTACCCGAGGGCGGCGAGCTGTCGACCTGAGGGCAGGATGCTGAGCACATCAATCTGTTCACTGAACAGATTGATGTGACAGCACAAATAAAGACTTACATTTATTATTGTAATAGTAAGTACTAGAGTAAAACAGATCCTAAGAGCACTAGGGATACAGTGCACCGGCAGACAGAGGCTGTCTGCCAACCAAACAGGAGTGCGATGAGGATTTGAGGGCAGAAGGGAGAGATGCCGCCCGAGGACGAAGTCCGAGGACGAGCTCACTTCTTCTTCTGCCTCAGACTGAGCACAAGTCTAGAGAATAGGTAGTTAAGAATAAAGTTAAACAAACTGTATTGAGAGCTACTCTACAGAGTTCAATTCAACATTTCAAGTAGAATGAGCAAGCCCACTGAGTCCAACATGAGCAGGTTGCAGTTCCAAGGGAACAAGGCGCATTTCGCTGGCTGGAAAGACAAGTTTGTGGATCATCTGGCTGCCAAGAGCGACGACATCGCGATTTTTGAGCTCCAGCATAATCGTGAGAAGCCTCTCACGCGTTACGAGGATTTGCTCAAATCCCAGCCGACAATCCCGCCTCTGGAAGGAGAGCAGACGCCGGAACGTGTGAAGGCTCACGAGCTACAAGAAGCGCTGGTTAGGGGACAGAAATCCTACATCAAGGATCTTCTGAACCAGACGCTGCCAAGAAACTTCGCTGACGAACGACTCATGAGGGAGCCGGTCCATGTCATCTGGAGGGCCGTTGAGAAACGCTACGGTCTCAACACTGCGTCCGGCGTTGTAGAGCTGGTGCAGAATTTCGAGAGAGTGGCCAACTCTGACTTCAGGAGCATTTCGCACCTGTTCCAGCAACTTAAGGTTGCTCGTGAGCAAGCGAACAGGAACAGCATCGAAGCTCTAGGTGGGAAGATCATATCGTCCCATCTCATGCTCGTTAAAGTCCTGGCAATTCTGCCTGGCCACCTGTGGGGCTCAGGGATCGAGTTCCAGCCTGGTGACTTTACTGTCGAAAAGGTTGAGCATAAACTCGTTGCCATCTTTGGCAACAAGAGCAAGGCGCAAATCATGGCGCTGGGCAAAGGTGTCGCGGTGAACCATGTACAAGCCGGGGCAGCGAAACCCAAGCCAAGTGCACTGGGCAAGCGAAAAGCCGCGCCTATCAACGATGTGCACTACAATGTGGGGGATAAATCGTGCCACTACTGTGCTGGGGAATTCAACGACATGAACGACGTCGGTCCCCATCATATTGTCGCATGCCCCAAGATGAAGTACGACTTGAGCCTGGGCGTTAAGCGCAGGAACATCTGGAGCCGAGGCAAACGCGTTGGCACTTGCTGGTCAAAGCCACAAGAGAAAGGCAAGTCGGTTGTCAAGACCAAGAAACCGGTTCGCAAGCAGATCCCGGTAGAAGACTGCCTACCGAAACCGGTAAACGCGTGCGAGACGGCGCAGCCAGGCGCTCCGATGAGTCCACCGCCTGTCAGCCCACCAACCACCATGACGCCTGGCTACGAAGATATGCACGGCACCGAGCCCATGGACACCGACGAGTCAATGTCGTCGTACGAAGTGCCTGTCAATGCTGGGGACGTCACCGGAGATGGGGCGATTACCGACATGGCGGCAGGTGTCAACAAGATGGCGGTTGACATGGAGCAAACGGTAAGGTCTTTGTATCCTTTTCTGCTGGACAGTGAAACACTTCTAACCACTGACTGTTGGGTGCTTGATTCAGGATGCGGTTTCGGTTTAACCAGCGAAGCATCCCGGTTTGTGGAGATGAGACCCGACAACGGCTACATGTTTACATTTGCAGAAGGGTCTAAACATACAAATACACACATTGGCACTGTGAAACTTTATTTGCATGGTCCGGGAGGTATTCGACCGTTTCTGTTTACGAACATTGCACTAGTACCGCATGCTAAGTCGAATATACTTAGTGAATACTGGCTACAAAGGGGAGGGTATCAGATTATAGGGTCAGCCAATGGCGACTATAAATTTGTCCTATATAAGAACCAATTGGTTTTTGTGGCCAAGGCAATTAACGGAGCGTATTATATACAATCTAAAACAGTAAAAGAACGGCAAGCGCACTGCCATGCTGTAAAATCACAACCATGTAAGCCACTGGCACTGCCAGGAGTGGGAAAAGTAGAGGCTGCCCTAAAGGAATGGCATGTAAAGTTGGGACACCTGAACAAAGAGCAGGTGATCGCAATGTTGACCAAATCAGTGGTGGCCGGTATGCCTACACTCAAGGCATCTGATCTCAGGCAAGTGCCATTCTTCTGCGCAACATGCGTGGAAATGAAGAAGAGACGGATGTCGTATCGCAATACAAAGGGCTCAAGAGATACAAAGCCGATCAGCACGATACACATGGACACAAATGGTCCGATGAAGACAATGGGAGTCTTCGGAACCACAGGCACTATCAGGTACTTCTTGAGCATCATTGACGACAACACGTCATGGCGCTGGACATACGTTCTACGGAACAAGAAAGAAGTGTTCGAGAAGGTCCGAGAGCTCCTACTGCAACTTGAGCGTGATGGAAAGTTCACAATCAGAAGAATTCGCTCCGATGATGGGACAGAGTTCGTGAACTCAGCGTTCAAAGAATTCTGCAAGGAAAAGGGCATAGTCTTTCAGACATCAAATGCATACAGCCCAGAAGAGAACGGAGCGGCTGAGCGGGACCATCAAAGCAAACTCGACAAGGTTCGCTGCGCGCTCAAAGATGCGGAGATGGAACATTGATGGTGGCCAGAGGCCCTGATCTACATGACCTATGTTCAGAATCGTACCCCAATGAGCCGGTTGGGTGGAAAGACGCCATACGAAATGGTGCACGGAGAGTCACCCAACATTAGTGGCTTACCTGTGTGGTGTAGTATCTGCTTTGCACACATACCGGCTGTACTTCGCAAAGACAAGAAACTGTCTGCTAGAGCTCTAAAGTGCAGGTTCTTAGGTGTCTCAGAAGAAGCCAAGGGCTACCGACTATGGGATGTCTATAACAACAAACACATTGTCGCTCGAGATGTGCTATTTGACACAACCAGTGTAGCAAACATTGTAAATCGGGCCTTTAACCAGTCCAACACGGAGGACACAACTCAATTTACTCCGCGAGAGATACCCGGAGCAGAGGGAGATCAGCAAACTGCATCTGAGCAGGAGACTGCTGAAGCAGTGGGAGTTACACCTACTGTGCCTCCAATGGATCCTACTGGAGCAGTGGGAGGGTCCAAATCAAAACGGAGCGCAGGGTTACTGGAAAGACCAAAGCCCATAGAGCGACCCCGTCGAGAATCCAAACGACCGAAACGGTATCAGGACTATCAGTGCTTCCAGGCAATCCTGGACAA